ATGCCCGTGACCACTGTTTGCTGCCGGTTCATCAGTGTGCTGTCCCTCGAGACGGGGATGCAGAAGCAGAGTCCGACGAGCAGCACTTCCAGAAGTGCGACCGCCCACGTGGAGAATGCCCCCTGCCTTGAAGTTGAGAATAGTGCGAATTGCCAGACCTCGGCCCGAGCCCACGCATTACTAAGCAATTGTTGTGGAGGGCCGAGTCCGAGGTGCCCGATGTTTCTTTGAAGCTGGTTTTCTGGGCAAACTCCGGAAAGGGTCAAAGAGATTGCACAGCGAGTCCGAGCAGCACGCCTGGCGTCGACAGTACACGTTCGACCACCCGCTGAACGGATGCCCGGCAGCAGCAGCAGCAGCAGCAGCAGCACAGAACTTTGCCGGAGTTAGTCGTGATGGGTAAAAGTTTGTAAGTGCAGCCTGGAAAGCAACTACGTTGTCGCATGTGCTAAGGCAAGAAAGCCAGCTGGCTAACGATGCGGCCCGAGACCTGGGGCGAGTGGGCCATTGGATGCTGGCTGTGCAACAGCTTCAAGGTGCCAGGGTCCCTTGGCTGTGACTGATGAGACGAGTTTCAGAGTGAGATATCTGTTGTTGCGTCTGAAATTTGAATGGAGCTTTGCAAACAAGGTCTTGTTCCTTCGCTCGGTTATCCGCGTCGTCCGTGCACATGATGGGACCCCACGCTTTCAGAGCACACGAGAAATCAGCTGGCCATGTCCGAGCCCTCGCCAGTTTGCCTGCGAAACAGGCGGCGCGGCAAGGGGAGGCCGAGGGTGGCTCTGGTATACTGGCTGTGGCGACGGGGATCAATGATTCTGTTCCTCGGATAGACCGATTTCGTCTCGCTGGAGTGGTCGTTGCCCGACGAGACACGTTTAGAGAATCTCAGCTGCAGAGAACAGCAGTCGGTGGGCATTGCAGATCAGACTTGATGTGCTTGCCAAGGACTTTCGAGCATACGCTGAAAACAGCGGTGAGAAGGATTTGTCAGAGCGAGTTTGCAAGCAGATGGTGACAGCAATGGCCCGAGTGCTGGAGGGCCAGGATATGTGTGTCTTGGAGAAGGACGGGGAATCAAATGTGTTGTTGGGGACGGAGCGAAAAGTGCGGTGCGTGCCGAGTCTGCTTCTTCTGCAGAGGCAGAACATTGTGGCATTGCTCTCGATGAACGAGATTCCTGCGTGTTGGTAGCCGGACGGTTCTATTACTCAGGCGGGGCGGGCACGGGCAACATGTAGAGCCCTCGGGATGGCAAGGCAGAGAGAGAGAGAGAGAGAGAGAGAGAGAGAGAGGGAGAGAGAGGGAGAGAGGGAGAGAGGGAGAGAGGCTCTCTGAGAGAGGGAGAGAGAGAGAGAGAGAGATAGAGACCGAGAGAGAGAGAGAGAGAGAGACAGAGAGCGAGCAAAAAAAAACATTTGTGAAGGTCTGAAGCACAATAAGTGGCTGCCGGCCAGCGGCACCTATGACTGCTTGATTGGCATTGCCCGAGACTATGGGCCAGGTCCAGAGACGTGTCGGCACGGAGAACGTTTGTGCAACACTGGTCCTTTGTCAGGGCGTCTGCACGAAAGACAGCTGAGGAAAATGTTGCACGAGCCGTCATGGCCACGTTGAAGTCTTTTTGCACGAGACGGCTTGGCCGAAGGGATCAAGGAGGAGTCGTTGGGCCCGAGGACGCTTTGGACGAGAGACTCTTCCAGAGACTCAAGGACCGGCCCGAGGTGCAACGATGCAGAGTGATTCAGGAATGAGGGTTTAGTGGCTTTAGGGTTAGATGCCCGAGATGCGAAAGCCCGAGAGAAAGCCCGAGAGAAAGCCCGAGAGAGCCAGGACATTCTTACTGTGGCCGTGGCGGACGGTGGGTTGTCCGAGCAGCAGGCATTGCAGACACTGGCAGCCACGGAGTTACCCAAGTTGAAGTTCATCGTCCGAGACCGAGCTCACAGGATGCGAGCGTGTCAGCGCAGCACGTGGACGAGCTTGACCGAGATGCGCGGCTTGTTGGACATATTGGTGACAGGGGAGCACTCCGTCGCCCGAGTCCTGGAGAAATCCCGGAAACTGGGTTTGTGGTTCGAGGCGAGCCAGCCGCCCGAGTCCGAGACCGAGTTTTGTCGCACGTTGAGGAGTTTCTCGTTTGCCATGCAACGGTTCGAGTCCGCGTCTTTGCCCTTGTTCAAGATTCTGAAGGCATTGCCCTCGCTGTACGAGTTTTTGGCCCGATGCTGTGAAGAGGGTGATCCCGAGGATGTGACATGGGCAGAGAACGTGTTAGGCCGGATGACAGGTGATGGTGCCACCAAGGCAGTGGTGCGTGCAGCCGTCGTGTGCGACGCGATGTTGGTTTGTCACCGGTTTCTTCGTCTATGTGACGTGTCCGAGGACGACGCATGCCTGTGCGGAACTCAGGCCGAGCGTCCGAAAATGGTTGCACGAGTCCGAGTAGCAGTAAAGTTTGTGCTCGTGCACGTCCCATCGCAAGGCGTCCGAGATCATGCACCAGATGAGGCACCTGTTCAAGGAGGGGAACCTTCTGACTGCAGACAAGTCCGTGACAGTGGAGGCCATGAACACCTTGAAGAAACTGGGTGCCGTCCGAGTGCTTGGCCGACGCCCCCGTGGCTCCAGGAGTGCAAGGCCCGAGCACGTGCTCAGTGTCTGGCAAACAACATCCGAGGCAGAGATCCGCAAAGATCTGCGCAGAGTCTACAAGCTTGTGGACGCCTACTTCCGAGCGAACTTTCCCTTGTGGGAGTATGTGAATTCTCTTTCTGCACTGGACGTGCATGCGGACCTGAGTATGAGGCAGCGAGAAACGATGATCGGCCGAGTCGCAAAGCAGTGGAATTTAGACGGCAAGATGCTCTGGCACCTTGGTAGCTGATTTTTTTAATAATTTGGATTTGTAGTTCAGAGCCAGTGGCAGAGACTGAGTTATGTGTGTTAAAGTCCCAGCCGCCTGTTCACTCAGGAAGCAGTTCTGGGGACAGGCGCCCGAGGATCACGGACCTGGCCATGGTCTCTTTGCTCGAGCCTTGTGGCACGCGAAGAATCCCAGCCAGCAGCCATCCAAGCAGGCCTGGGTGAAGACCCTGTCCGAGCTGAGAAAGAGCCAGATCCGAAACAGGTACGAGGCCGTGAAGCTCATCAAGCATTCGCTCGTGTTCATGACGTCCACCTGCAATGTGGAGCGGTGGTTGCACGAGATCAGCTTGACCGAGCAGAAAAGCAGGGCTCATCACCTCAACATTTTCCGGCTCGAGGATAGTGTCAAACTCAACGTTCAGAACATGAGTGGCCGAGCCAGTGTCTTCCAGCCCGAGTCCCTGACTACGTCCGCGACCGAGAGTCGAGATCGGCAGGTGCGTTGGCAGGCAAGCTACTTTGGCCTGCGAGCCCAAAAGGCTTACGCTGAGTTTTACGGCGAGAAGCAGTTACCTGCCCGAGACCTCCTGTCCGTGCAAGAGCGCAATGACAAACCGAGGTTGGCACCATTGCGGGCGAGCTCGAGCAAATCCATAGCAGCCCAGATGAGGCAACACAAGGAGTCACTCGACAGTGCTGTGCGAACGGGCGCAAAAGGGTCCCAAGACACGATGTCCGAGATGGTTGCGGAAGCCGCCGAATTCAGAGTGGGCATTTCAGCCGCAAGGTTTATTTATAGTTTTCCGAGCTATGATGTTGCTTTTGTTTCTGACCTATGGCCATGAATAATCCTGACTCTAGCCGGAGGCGTGGAACAACCTGCCTCCAGCTCTGCGTCCTCGTCCAGCAAAAGAAAGGCGCCCGAGCAGAACCAGGAGGTGGTGACGCCAGAGTCCGTGGCGGACAAGGATGATACGATGGAAGATGAGGTCATCAATGCCGCAGTGGCTTCGCAGATCGAGCTCGTCAAGAAGCGAAAAAAGGTTGATTTTGGCACGAAGGCAGGCTGTGTACCTGCATATGTCCATGCAACAGGGTCCGTGGTTGGCCCCATGGCCGCCAATGCTCCGAGTGCTGCCCGGGCCAAAGCCCCCAAGCTTGGCAACACTGTCTGCGTCAAGATGGCGCACGGTGCCCACTGGCCCGAGAATGTGAGTGCCCGCTTCCGCTTGACCATGGACTTTGCGTCGGCCGACGTTTTAATGGTCGCCAACATATCCGAAGGGCTTTACTTGCCGGAGGCACTGGAAGCCAGACTGAGAGGAGTCCGAGTTTGCGACCGAGATTTCATTCAGACCGCAATGCAGAAGGGCAATTGTTACGCCTTCCAACGAGCCTTGGACCTGCACTTTCACTTGTATCTGACCGAGGGTTTTGCCAACAAATATCCGGCACACTCGGATGTGTTGTTCGCGCATGGGGCCTTGAATGGCTGTAAGCTTCGAGTTTACAAGGGAGGGATGCCTGAGAAACCTCGGCATCCGAAATTGACTTTTAATTTGTGTCCGAGCCCGAGCCTGAGCTCGGACAGCGATTCTGCTGAGAGCGGCAAGTCCTGGAATCTGGACAAGCTCCTCATGAAGCTTGGGGTTCTTTACGACCAGGGGTGACCGAGTCCGAGTCCGGGTCTGTGCAAAGCAGAAAGAAGGATGAGCCTGATTGAGTTTTGCGTCGTGCTGCAGCTAACCCTGACTGTGCCAGCTTCTTGGATTGGCCAGGACCATTTCGAGCGGGTGGAGTTCAAGATCGGAATGCGTGACTGAGGAACAAAAAGGCGTGCCAGGCCACTCCAGGCAATCCATTCTTGCATTGATATATATTTAATAACTTACTCATATATGTAGTGCAAAAAAACTAAAAACTTAGTTTCTTGCAAGCCGCTGAGACCCAGCAAGTTCTAGCCGAATTATGATCCTATTAGGGTACTTAAAGGGGCTTGCAGGTGGGCTAAAACTACACTTAGCATGGGTTGCTAAGTACCCTGAACCTCCAAGTACCGGGAAGTACGAACCCCAAAGCCTGCCCCCAAAACCCGAAGCCACCCCAAAGCCTCCCAAGTGACGTGCGCAGAGGTGCGGACCCGCTATTCCTGCCCGAAGGCGCCGGGGCACGGGAGAAGTTTGTGGCCGGCTTGGTTGGAGGTTCATGGGGGACCCTAAACCCTAAACCCTAAACCCTAAACCCTAAACCCTTTAAGGGGCTTTAGGGCGTCGAGTTAGGGCTTCCTGAGAGTCCTTGCGTTGTCGGCTATAAAGCCTTACGTATCGTTTAGGGTACCAGAACGTTCCCCATATGTGAGATAAGCCCCAAAGTACATCCCTTCCTGTCGTGGGAAGTAGATCATATGAAGCTCGTGACCATCCAAACCACTTCTAGCCCCAAGTATCAGTGCACTTCTCAGCCCCCGAAGTCCCCCAAGTAGACTGATAATTGGGGCTATAAGCACCCATAAACCTCCAAGTAGAGGACGAAAGTTACAGCGTTCATCACGCAACACTGGGCCCCAGAAACCCCACAAACCCTACGAGCCCCAGACACCCTACACACCCGACAGTTTAGGGTTTAGGGGGTCTTCGTAGGGTTTAGGGTTTTTGTAGGGTTTAGGGGTTATAGGGATGAAAGTTTATAGGGCTGCTAGACTATGAACCCTACCATAAACCCATTTCAAGTCTAAACCGGAAGAGCTGAACAACCAGGGACTCCAATACCCCTCAATTAGGGGATTTTCCTTAAATTATACTTGGTTCCTTATATGGTTGAAGGAATATTTCTTAATGAAGGGGTCTTGGAGTCTCTGGGAACTCCAGGCTACAAGAAGCTCAGCGACGAAGGCATCGGGCGCACGGACCCAAGCCCTCCTGTCCAGGGTTTAGGGTTTAGGGTTTATTGTTTAGGGTTTAGGGTTTAGGGTTTAGCGTTTAGGGTTTAGGGTTTAGGGTTTAGGGTTTAGGGTTTAGGGTTGTCTGGATGTTCGACCCTTGGGAAATTTTATGCTTTCCCTTATTGGGTTTAAGAGGATGATATTCCGGCATATTTGTCACAGGGTTTTAAGGGCCCTCCTAGTTTAGGGTGTAGGGGTTTTGGGGTTTAGGGGTTTACGGGAACCGGGTGTAGGGGTTTAGGCTTTTTGGTTTAGGGGTTTGCGGCTTTAGGGTTTAGGGGTCTAGGGTTTATATAAGGGGTTCTTGGGGAAACCCTAGGCCCTAAACCCTAGGTTTTTGGGCTTTTTTGGGGGGTCTTAGGGTTTTTTAAGGGGTTTGGCGGGTTGGTCAAGGCTTTGCTTGCTGCAGGGTTCTTCCTGCACTACCAAGCACGCCGGGTTCAACATAGGAGCCCAACGTAAATTGGGGGGGGGGGGGGGGGGGGGGGGGGGGGGGGGGGCCGGCTTAGGGTTTAGGGTTTAGGGTTTAGGGTTGAGGGTTGAGGGTTGAGGGTTTATGCTAAGGGGTCCTCTAATCTCGTAGACCCCCAGAATGACCGTCTGGGTAGATACAGGGGCCCTGAACCCTAAACCCTAAACCCTAAACCCTAAACCCTAAACCCTAAACCCTAAACCCTAAACCCTAAACCCTAAACCCTAGTCCCTTACCTTCCTTAAAGGGTTCCGAAGGGTGGGCCCTTGGGCTTTATGGCGGTACATAAGGGGTATACAAGGTTTAGGGTTTAGGGTTTAGGGTTTAGGGTTTAGGGTTTAGGGTTTAGGGTTTAGGGTTTAGGGTTTAGGGTTTAGGGTTTAGGGTTTAGGGTTCATCCGAAGAAACAGTATCGTCCCCTTACAATCCCTTGACTGGGAACATGGGAAGCTACCCCCCAGCATACCCATCTCAACTGCATAGGTTCCCATGTGATGCACAGCATGCTGAACCCTAACCCCCAAACACTAACCCTGAAACCTTAAACCCTAAACCCTATACCGTGAACCCCAAAACCTAAAACCACCCTTACACCTTAAACCCTAAACCCCAAACCCTAAGCACATAAACATAAAAACCCAAAACCCTAAACCCTGCTGCTGGTCGATTCCAAGTGGGCGCGAATCCAGGAGTTCCAGCACTAAAAACGAGGGCCCGAATCCCTACTCAAAGCAGGAAACCCTAAACCCTAAACAGCAAACCGCAAACTCTAAACCCTAAACCCCAAACCCCAAACCCTAAACCCTAAACCCTAAACCCTAAACAGGTTACCCCGAAAGCAGCGGTTCTAGCTTCGAGGGCTTTAGGGTTTATTGGGTGTTAGGATTTAGGGTTTTGGGTTTTGGGTTAGGATTCAGGGTATAGGTTTAGTGTTTAGGATTTAGGGTTTTGGGTTTAAGGTTTTGAGGGTTGTGGGTTTGGGGTTTTGGGTTTGGGTTTAGGGTGGCCACAGTTGCATTCGGTACGTTTTGCAATGAGTCGAACCGGCGATGAACTGGTGATGGGTGATGGTTCACACCATTCGGTTGGAAGGGTGCGGCTCAGCGGTTCGCACGGTTCCTTATTGCCTTTACTCTTGATGAAGCCGAACCTTCCCCTGAGGCTGGATCCAGATAGCCCAAAGCAGGACTTTAGACTTTGGACCCCAATGTAGGTCTTATTTTCTATGGCGACTTCCTGACGTTCGTGCGTAAGGGGGATGATGTAGGGCTTGCAAAACGGCCTTCAGCAACGAAACCCTTTCTGCTTCGGTTTTCTGCGGTTCTTGTCCGGTACGGTTCGTCAACAGCATCCGCCGCTAGGGTTTAGGGTTTAGGGTTTAGGGTTTAGGGTCTAGGGTCTAGGGTCTAGAGTCTAGGGTTTAGGGTTTAGGGTTTAGGGTTTAGGGTTTAGGGTTTAGGGTTTAGGGTTTAGGGTTTAGGGTTTAGGACTCTCAAACCGCTTGCTGGGACTCCAAAATCGAGGCGCCAGGGAGCCGTCCGAAATCTGGAGAACAAACACACCTCCCATCCAGCCCCTAATATCTCAAAATCTCGAGGAATTTCAAGCCCCCCAAGCTCTCAACCCTAAACCCTAAAACAGGGGGCGGCGAAGCCGAACACAAGCCCCAAATCTCCTCAGCCCAAGGCCCCAAGCTCAATTCTGCCCTCAACCGGACACCCTAAAGCATCAAACTCTCAAACTCAAAGCAAGCCCCCCAAAAAACAAAGCCCGATGTCCCGAACACATAACCCTAAGACTCCCTACGGTGCCCAAAGCCCTGATCTCTGCCTGTCTCTCTTCTAAACGCTAAACCCTAAACCCTACCACCCTGAGCCCTAAACCCTAAACCCTAAACCCTAAACCCTAAACCCTAAGCCCTAAACCCTAAACCCTGAACCCTAAACCTTAAACCCTACCACTTAAACCCCTAAACCCTCTCCGAGGCTGGGAGTGCGATGCGGAGGCCGTCTCTGAAGTTGCTATGAATTGCTTAAGACCCCCTCCACCCCCCCTCCCCAAACCCTAAACCCTAAACCCTAAACCCTAAACCCTAAACCCTAAACCCTGAACCCTGAACCCTGAACCCTGAACCCTGAACCCTGAACCCTGAACCCTAAACCGTAAACCCGAAACCCTAAACCCTACCCCCAAACCCCAAACCCCAAACCCCAAACCCCAAACCCCAAACCCCAGACAGCATTGTTTTTTAACAGGGTTGAGCGGCCTGCGGTCCTGTTTGTGAGTTGTGTGCACAAGATTTTGACAGCCGATGCGGGGAACCCTTAGCCGCCTTAGCGATTAACCTGCTCTTTGGGAGCATGGCTGGCTCTTTTGTTGCATTTAGGGTTTAGGGTTTAGAGTTTAGGGTTTAGGGTGTAGGGTTTAGGGTCACAGGCTCTTGTCGAAGCTTGCTGCATGCAGAGTTGCCTTCCTCTCTTTCCTGCCTCGGCGCTGACGGCAGTCTGGTGACCCCCTTTTGGGCGTGAAGATGCCGATGTGTGCGAATGATGCTGATTCCTCTTGTTGCATGTGGGAAGGTCTTCAAGGGCCGCGCCTCTAACGGACCTGAATTGGCAACTGGGTCCAGGATTTGTCCTTACCCCCCTTTCCGATGGCTTCTTGATCTGCGGGGTTGATTCGGCGACAGCGGCCCGAGGACAATGATGTAAACGAAGTCTTGTGACCGTGACCCTTCTCTGGGCATGAAGATGCTTCTTTGTGCGAATGATGCTGATTCCTCTCCAGTCGGGTTGTTGCATGCGGAAGGGTCTTCAAGGACCGCACTTGGGTTTGTCCACTGTTGGAGCTATTTCGGCGAAAACGGCAAGAGGACAATGATGCAAATACAGCTTTGTGACTCTCTTCTGGGCATGACGATGCTTCTGTGTGCGAATGATGCTGATTCCTCTCCAGTCGGGTTGTTGCAGACGGAAGAGTCTTCAAGGACCGCACCTGTCTTTGTCCACCTGCTTGCTCTGTTGGAGCTGTTTCGGTGAAAACGGCACGAGGACAATGATGCAAGTAAAGCTTTGTGACCCTCTTCTGGGCATGAAGATGCCTACATGTGCGAATGATGCTGATTCCTCTCGAGTCGGGTTGTTGCATGTGAAACGGCACATGGCACGGACCTGAATTGGGTCCAGGATTTGTCCCTACCTTTCCGATAGCTTCTTTCCCGGTGTGAACTGTTTCGGGGCTTCGGGGACAACGGCCGGAGAACAATGATGTAAATGAAGTTTTGCGACCCTCTTCGGGGCATGAAGATTCTTCTGTGTGCGAATGATGCTGATTCCTCTCCAGTCGGGTTGTTGCAGACGGAAGCATCTTCAACGACCGCACCTGTCTTTGTCCGCCTTCTTGCTCTGTTGGAGCTGTTTCGGTGAAAACGGCAAGAGGACAATGATGCAAATAAAGCTTTGTGACCCTCTTCTGGGCATGAAGATGCCTACGTGTGCGAATGATGCTGATTCCTCTCCACTCGGGCTGTTGCGCACGGAAGGGTCTTCGACGACCGCACCTGTCACGGCCCTAGTTCGGTCCAAAATTTGTCCTTACTCCCCTTTGCGTGATTCTGACCCCCCCATCTACCCGTAGGGTTCAGAGATTCGGGGTTTGGGGGGTAGCCTTAAACCCTCGAACTGTAAACCATTCGGCCTGGCAACGCACAGAGCGAACCAGGGGAACATTTCTAGATATAGAGGCTTAGGGGGTGTTGACTCTGAATTTACGAAGTCTGTCTTGAGCGGGACTTGTACCATCGACAGGAGTGATGAGGAACAGCTTTAGGTCTTGTTCGGCTGAGGCCAAAGGTGATGAGACAGCGCATGCACACCACTCATAGTCTGAGCCGATGACACTGCGTGTTGATGCATGTGGGGTGAGGATGAGTCGCTGTTGCCTCAAACTTCTCCGACCCTCAGCTGGGCATGAGGACATCAGCTCTGTGTCAGGATTCTGACCTCACGAAGCCATCTAGAAGTCTGTGATGTTTTGCGATGCGTGGCGTTGGGGCGGGAGCGTGTTGTGCCATCGACAAGTGTGATGAAGAACAGCTCTAGGTCTCGTTCGGCTGAGGCCAAAGGTGATGAGACAATGCATGCACACCACTCATAGTCTGAGCCGATGACACCGCGTGTTGCAGCATGTGGGGTGAGGATGAGTCGCTGTTGCCTCAAACTTCTCCGACCCTCAGCTGGGCATGAGGACATCAGCTCTGTGTCAGGATTCTGACCTCACGAAGCCATCTGGAAGTCTGTGATGTTTTGCGGTGCGTGGCGTTGGGGCGGGACCGTGTTGTGCCATCGACAAAGTGATGAGGAACAGCTTTAGGTCTCGTTCGGCTGAGGCCAAAGGTGATGAGACAACGCATGCACACCACTCATAGTCTGAGCCGATGACACTGCGTGTTGCAGCATGTGGGGTGAGGATGAGTCGCTGTTGCCTCAAACTTCTCCGACCCTCAACTGGGCATGAGGCCATCAGCTCTGTGTCAGGATTCCTGAACTCACGAAGCCATCTAGAAGTCTGTGATGTTTTGCTGTGCGTGGCGTTGGGGCGGGACCGTGTTGTGCCATCGACAAGAGTGATGAGGAACAGCTTTAGGTCTCGTTCGGCTGAGGCCAAAGGTGATGAGACAACGCATGCACACCACTCATAGTCTGAGCCGATGACACCGCGTGTTGCAGCATGTGGGGTGAGGAGTCGCTGTTGCCTCAAACTTCTCCGACCCTCAGCTGGGCATGAGGCCATCAGCTCTGTGTCAGGATTCCTGAACTCACGAAGCCATCTAGAAGTCTGTGATGTTTTGCTGTGCGTGGCGTTGGGGCGGGACCGTGTTGTGCCATCGACAAGAGTGATGAGGAACAGCTTTAGGTCTCGTTCGGCTGAGGCCAAAGGTGATGAGACAACGCATGCACACCACTCATAGTCTGAGCCGATGACACCGCGTGTTGCAGCATGTGGGGTGAGGATGAGTCGCTGTTGCCTCAAACTTCTCCGACCCTCAGCTGGGCATGAGGCCATCAGCTCTGTGTCAGGATTCTGAACTCACGAAGCCATCTAGAAGTCTGTGATGTTTTGCAGTGCGTGGCGTTGGGGCGGGACCGTGTTGTGCCATCGACAAGAGTGATGAGGAACAGCTTTAGGTCTCGTTCGGCTGAGGCCAAAGGTGATGAGACAACGCATGCACACCACTCATAGTCTGAGCCGATGACACCGCGTGTTGCAGCATGTGGGGTGAGGATGAGTCGCTGTTGCCTCAAACTTCTCCGACCCTCAGCTGGGCATGAGGCCATCAGCTCACTGTGTCAGGTTTCTGAACTCACGAAGCCATCTAGAAGTCTGTGATGTTTTGCGATGCGTGGCGTTGGGGCGGGACCGTGTTGAGCCATCGACAAGTGTGATGAAGAACGGCTCTAGGTCTCGTTCGGCTGAGGCCAAAGGTGATGAGACAACGCATGCACACCACTCATAGTCTGAGCCGATGACACCGCGTGTTGCAGCATGTGGGGTGAGGAGTCGCTGTTGCCTCAAACTTCTCCGACCCTCAGCTGGGCATGAGGACATCAGCTCACTGTGTCAGGTTTCTGAACTCACGAAGCCATCTAGAAGTCTGTGATGTTTTGCGATGCGTGGCGTTGGGGCGGGACCGTGTTGAGCCATCGACAAGTGTGATGAAGAACGGCTCTAGGTCTCGTTCGGCTGAGGCCAAAGGTGATGAGACAACGCATGCACACCACTCATAGTCTGAGCCGATGACACCGCGTGTTGCAGCATGTGGGGTGAGGAGTCGCTGTTGCCTCAAACTTCTCCGACCCTCAGCTGGGCATGAGGCCATCAGCTCTGTGTCAGGATTCCTGAACTCACGAAGCCATCTAGAAGTCTGTGATGTTTTGCGGTGCGTGCGTTTGGGCGGGACCGTGTTGTGCCATCGACAAAGTGATGAAGAACAGCTTTAGGTCTCGTTCGGCTGAGGCCAAAGGTGATGAGACAACGCATGCACACCACTCATAGTCTGAGCCGATGACACCGCGTGTTGATGCATGTGGCGTGAGGATGAGTCGCTGTTGCCTCAAACTTCTCCGACCCTCAGCTGGGCATGAGGACATCAGCTCTGTGTCAGGATTCCTGAACTCACGAAGCCATCTAGAAGTCTGTGATGTTTTGCGGTGCGTGGCGTTGGGGCGGGACCGTGTTGTGCCATCGACAAGTGTGATGAGGAACAGCTTTAGGTCTCGTTCGGCTGAGGCCAAAGGTGATGAGACAACGCATGCACACCACTCATAGTCTGAGCCGATGACACCGCGTGTTGCAGCATGTGGGGTGAGGATGAGTCGCTGTTGCCTCAAACTTCTCCGACCCTCAGCTGGGCATGAGGCCATCAGCTCTGTGTCAGGATTCTGAACTCACGAAGCCATCTAGATGGCTGTGATGTTTTGCTGTGTGTGGCGTTGGGGCGGGACCGTGTTGTGCCATCGACAAAGTGATGAGGAACAGCTTTAGGTCTCGTTCGGCTGAGGCCAAAGGTGATGAGACAACGCATGCACACCACTCATAGTCTGAGCCGATGACACCGCGTGTTGATGCATGTGGGGTGAGGATGAGTCGCTGTTGCCTCAAACTTCTCCGACCCTCAGCTGGGCATGAGGCCATCAGCTCTGTGTCAGGATTCCTGAACTCACGAAGCCATCTAGAAGTCTGTGATGTTCTGCTGTGCGTGGCGTTGGGGCGGGACCGTGTTGTGCCATCGACAAAGTGATGAGGAACAGCTTTAGGTCTCGTTCGGCTGAGGCCAAAGGTGATGAGACAACGCATGCACACCACTCATAGTCTGAGCCGATGACACTGCGTGTTGATGCATGTGGGGTGAGGATGAGTCGCTGTTGCCTCAAACTTCTCCGACCCTCAGCTGGGCATGAGGCCATCAGCTCTGTGTCAGGATTCCTGAACTCACGAAGCCATCTAGATGTCTGTGATGTTTTGCTGTGCGTGGCGTTGGGGCGGGACCGTGTTGTGCCATCGACAAGAGTGATGAGGAACAGCTTTAGGTCTCGTTCGGCTGAGGCCAAAGGTGATGAGACAACGCATGCACACCACTCATAGTCTGAGCCGATGACACCGCGTGTTGCAGCATGTGGGGTGAGGAGTCGCTGTTGCCTCAAACTTCTCCGACCCTCAGCTGGGCATGAGGCCATCAGCTCTGTGTCAGGATTCCTGAACTCACGAAGCCATCTAGAAGTCTGTGATGTTTTGCTGTGCGTGGCGTTGGGGCGGGACCGTGTTGTGCCATCGACAAGAGTGATGAGGAACAGCTTTAGGTCTCGTTCGGCTGAGGCCAAAGGTGATGAGACAACGCATGCACACCACTCATAGTCTGAGCCGATGACACCGCGTGTTGCAGCATGTGGGGTGAGGATGAGTCGCTGTTGCCTCAAACTTCTCCGACCCTCAGCTGGGCATGAGGCCATCAGCTCTGTGTCAGGATTCTGAACTCACGAAGCCATCTAGAAGTCTGTGATGTTTTGCAGTGCGTGGCGTTGGGGCGGGACCGTGTTGTGCCATCGACAAGAGTGATGAGGAACAGTTGTAGCCAGCGCCTAAGATCTGTTTCGCCCTCCGCGGTTAGGGACATATAGGGGTCAGAGTTTAGCGAGGTTTAGGGTCAATAGGCTTTAAAGTTGAGGGCTTTAAGCCCTCGACCCTAGACCCTCAACCCCAATGCCTCCCCACCAGGCTCGCTATGAGGGCACCGCGAACGTATTTTGCGAGTGGTGGCCCTGAAGGGGTGAGGGTTTGACATTGTAGTCCTAAACCCCAAACCCTAAACCCTAAATCCTAAACTCAGGGTTCGGTCTAGGGCTTCGGATTGAACGTTCCTCAGGGCATGTAAGAAGGGTGGTTAGGGTAAGGGCGTTTAGGCTATGCAGGTTTTAGGGCCCTTTAGGGTTGTAGTTGGGGGCGGGGGGCGGGGGGGGGGGGGGGGGGGTGGTGTTAGGGTTGCAGGGCTTATAGCCGTTTTGTTAAGATCTAGGGTTCAATTTAAGTTTAAGTAAGGTTTAAGGTTTGAGTGCATGTTTTGAGCTAAAGAATGTTGTTCTGGAGAGTTTGGTCTGCGTTTTGCAAGTGAAACCAGCTTCAAGATGCCTTTTTGGTATGTTTCAGCAGAAAAAGAAAAGCGTTGTTCTAGACACCTTGGCTTGTCTTTTTGTTAAGATCTAGGGTTCAAGGTTTAACATTGAGTAAGGTTTAAGGTTTGGGGTTAGACATGTTTTGAGCTCAAAAGTATGGTTCTGGAGAGTTTGTACATGAACACCAGCCAAAAAGCATTTTGGATGTTTGCAGCAGAAAAATCATGGCTCTAGGCACCTTGCCTTTTCATCAATTTTGGAGCATCTTGAACTACGGCATAGTTCTGAAGCTTTTTGTTCTTATTCAAGTTCAGTCGGAAGAGGGCATCCTTAACTACGCCTGCGATTAGAAGGTAGCCTTGGAGCATCCTTAACCACCCTGTGGTGAAGGCATTTTGAGGTCTGAGTGAACTTCAACCAGTAGAGAGCATCGCGTAGCTAAGGGTTTTGGGTTTCAAGCACTTGGCGCCAGCAGAGAGCATCCTTATTTACGAAACGAATAAGGTAGTTTTGGAACATCCTTGACTACGCTGTAATTTGGGGGGTGTTGGGCTTCAACCAATTTGAGCCATTACTAGTATTTACGGCGCGAAGAAGGATTTGGAAGTGGGGGACTTCGGCTAAGAAGTGTTTGTGCCCTCGCGTTACCGTGGATCTTGTGGCCCGAAACACTTCTGTTAGGAGGTCCTCCACTTCCAAGTCCTTATTTACCGCGCGAATAGGGCTGTTTCGGTTTTCTTCCATTTCAACATTTGGGAACCTCCTCTTGAGTTTTTGGGCGCGATGAAGGCTCCAAATCCTTATTTACCGCGCGAATTTCAGCAATTTGGGGGCCTCTTTAACTACAGCGTTCATAAGGCTCCAAATCCGCAATTATCGCGCGAAGAAGGCCGTTTCGGTTGTCGACCTCCTTCACAACGGCGCGACCAAGGCTCCAAACCCTTATTCACCGCGCGAAAAGGCTGCCTCGGTTCAGCAATTTGGTGCTCGCGATGAAAGCTCCAAAGCCTTACTTGATGCGCGAATGAGGGTGTTCCGATTGTCGTCCCAGTAATTTGGGAACATCTTTTCAGCCGCTTGAAAACGCCCTAAACTACGGCGCGATTGAGGGCTGTTGCTTTCAGCTATCTCCACGCAGTGCCAGTTCCGTTCCGGTTGTTCCGGGGTCTTCCGTTCCGAGCGTTCCGTTCCGTTCCGTTCTGTGTAAGTAAACTACAAGGCCATTCGGAAGAAGGCCAAATTGATTTTAGCCAGCCCCGGAAAAATCATTTTGGCCACTCCCTTGATTGGTTTGTCTGGGAGGCTCCGGCTGCATTCGGGAGGCAGTTTTTCGCCAGAGGCTCCCTCGCACAACTTGGGACACATTCTATAGTACGCCGGCAAAAACATGTATGGAGCGGCAAATAGCTTTCGCACGTTAGTATGTATACTATGTAGCGACACTTGGGCACGTTTTCCCTCCGTCACTAACCCCCCCTTCTTGAAACCACCCTTGTCCCATTCCCCGAGTTCCAAAGCGGGACCCGAATTCTTTTACATGTTTGGGGTTTAGGGTTGAGGGTTTCGGGTTTAGAGTTTAGGGTTTCGGGTTTAGGGTTTAGGGTTTTAGGAGCTCTGCTCTGTGGCTAAGGCTTGGAGGCATTGGGATCTCAGGGTGCCTTCCAGGTGCTTCCATCGGGTCTAAAGTCAGCAAAACCCAAACCCCCAAAACCCCAAAACCCCAAACCCTAAACCCTAAACCCTACACCCTAAGCCCCAAACCCCAAACCCCAAACCCCAAGCCCCAAACCCCAAGCCCCAAGCCCCAAGCCCCAAGCCCCAAACCCCAAACCCCAAACCCTTACCAAGCCCCAAGCCCCAGCCCAAACCCTTACCAAGCCCCAAGCCCCAAGCCCCAAGTCTGACAAACAGGCCCTTGAGGCCTCTAAACTCCACAGGTTTTGGGGCTTTTAGGGCCTCGAGGGTTCCCCTAAGCCCTGAGCCTTGTGCTTTTTTGGGAAATCATTTAGGGTTTGGGGTTTAGGGTTTAGGGCTTTTTGGGCGGCATTCCTATGTGAGTAACTTTGAGTCTAGGGCGGTTTAGGGTTTAGGGTTTAGGGTTTAGGGTTCAAAAACCCCAAGAAGCCTTGGAACCCCAAGCCCCGAGGCTGAGTGAAACGTGCAACTCAACCAAGCGCTTTCACGGCTGCACGAAGGTTGTGAGGCCAGTTGTGAGGGGCTCCGCCTTAGCGTGTTTACAACTAGGTAGTGTAGGAGTGATCATCCGAACCCCTAAGCCCGACGAATCTCCGGCCCTAGGTATAGGCTCTTGGGACATTTCATTTTTTCCCTTATTGGGTTTAAGCGGCTCAGATTCATTTCGAAGCTTAGCTTAACCCCTCATTATAACTATAAGACCCCGGAACTCATTTGTGGCCCAGGGTTTAGGGTTTAGGGCTTTCTAAGCTGATATCTACTGTTTGCTTAAGAACTCCCAAGAAATATAAGCCCCTAGAGCGCCCATATAAGGAAGACGGTTTGTATATTACTCTTTATGTTTTATTTCCTTATTACTTTATTTCTTTATTTATTTCTTGTTTTTGAAGGGGGGGGGGTGGCTCCTAAGCAAGTCGTAGATTGCCAGTGCCCCTAAAACCCTAAACCCCAACAACCTAAGCATGAGCCCTACACGGCCTCAGAACCCCAAAACAGACCCCAAGAAGCTCTGATACAGGGGAATCTGAAAGCTACTATTTCACATAGGAAGCCCTATTTAAGGCCCTTAACTTAACTGAGGGTTTCTTTTTGGGTTACTTACTTCAAGAGCGTCGTACTAGAAAGGGGACCCAAATGGGACCCTCTATGAAGAGAACAAACTACGCATATCATATAGGTACATGGACCGTGGTTTAGGGTATAGGGTTTAGGGGAGGGTGTGCTTCGAGGTTCACGTGTGCTGAGAAGTAGGGTCTCCCACATTCTGAGTTTAGGGTTCAGGGTTACGGGTTTTGTTCTTGTGCTAGTTTGCGATCAAGGGTAGATGCAAGCAGGCTGTTTTTGAATAATCCAATCAAGGGTATAGCCAGCTAATGCCTTTTGAAACTTGGTTTTGTGTATGAGAACTAGTTCGTTTGAAGATGAGTTTGCAGTGTTTGAGGTTGCAGGTAAACCCTCCCTACCCCTAAATCCTAAACCCTAAACCCTAAGCTCTGGACCCTGACTATTGATTTCTGAGCGCAGAAATATGGACTTTGCAGATCGGCAAGAACTTTCAAGACAACGCCTAGTAGTACCCGTAGGTAGGGGATGCCAGGTTTAGCACAGGGCTGCTGGTCTTCGGATTATAAAAACAAGTCTAGTTTCTGTCTAGGTGGATCAGACCGAAACCCGGATCATGGAGTGGGGTATAGGATTTAGGGGTACAGGGTTTAGGGTCTAGGGTCTAGGGTTTAGGGTTTAGGGTTTAGGGGTCCTAGGTTGTCCAGGGTTTGGGACATGTTTTGCCTAAGGGACTCGGGGTTTCAGCATCCTTGCGCAGGCCATGCCTCATGCCTCCACTGGATCCTTGCAAGTTCGATGCGCGGGCCCTCAGAACTGGGTAGCACAGTGGCACCCTTACTTGGAGGTTCATGGCACGTATTAACCAATTAAAACTGTACTTATAACTGTACTTGTAACTGTACTTATATAACTGTACTTATAGCCATATTAGGGCACTTAAGGGACTCACAAGTGGGTTTTTCTGTACAGTGATAATTGGTTCATAAGTACCATGAACCTCCAAGTATGCAGTAACCAACCCCAAAAGGGTGCCCTTGTTGTAGTATGGTTAGTGGGCTCCCAAGAGAACAGGGACACGGGGAATATTCTCAGAGAGGATCTGTCCAAGGGTCTAGGCCTACCTGAAGAGATCTACTTGAAGTAGCCATACGGCTCCAAGTACTCAAATTCATATTGGCTGCCCTGCTCGTAGTCCTTGCATAGCTACCCAACCTGCAAGTGCTTAGAATCGCCTAAGGGCGAAGCCCTGCAGACCCTAAACCCTACGAAACGATTGTCAAACAAACGCCGAAAAGCCCCAGGGTTTAGGGTTTAGGGTTTAAAGGATTTCGGGGTCGTAGTAGGAGCCCTATCAGCCCGACCAAAGCGATCGTCACCAGCATTCACAGGCGTGAGAACTTTGAAGAAAGAAAGATCCGCCCAAAAGACGAGGAATAGGATGCCAAGGAGAAGGACGAGGATCTGTAGAGAACCCTACCAAATAATATTCATAAAGCACTTTTCCCACGACTTTCGATGGCCCCGGCGCTGTCTAGCGCCCCGGCCATGAACGAGAGACCCTCCACAAAGCTCTCCATGAATCCACTGTTGTAAGGCCCTGTGAAGCCCCCACAGGGTTTAGGGTTTAGGGTTTAGGCTTTAGGGTTTAGGGTTTAGGGTTTAGGTTTTAGGGTTTAGGGGTTTAGGGTTTAGGGCAACCCCCGGCAGGCAGAGACCCCCCCCCCCCCCTTTTTAGACGCAGAATATCAAGGGCCCCAGATGGTGGGCTGTAGCTCGTACAACTACCCAAAGAGCCCAATGGCCCTTAATTCAAGAATATACCTTAAAGCATATGAAGGATCCCTGTAGAAATTAAGCAATAGTCCCTCACTAAGGGATATTGGGCTCTTGGGTAGGTTGTATAGAAGTCCGAGATGTCTAGTCAGTATAGGTTCCGGCGGAGAATTTAAAGCTTCTCTCCTGGGGAGGGCTTTGGACAGGATTCAGGGCCCTATGCCCGACAAAAGTCCCCACAGAAATGCTACAAGCCCATCTGTACATCCCACACACACCCCAAACCCCAAACTCTAAACCCTCAACACTTAAAACAACCTTCAACACTTAATAAACCTTCAAAACAAAACAAAAAAAAACAAGGTCTCTGACTGCGCCAGCGTCCCTGCCAACGGGACTTGTACTATCGGCTGCGCGGGCCACTACGTTGGTGAGCCGACGTCTGAGAGAAAGGGGGTTCCGGGGGGCATTGCAGGGTTTAGGGTTTAGGGTCTTGGGGTTTGGGGTTTGGGGGTTGGGGGTTTGGGGGGTTTGGGGTTTTGGGGTTTTGGGGTTTGGGGTTTGGGGTTTTGGGGTTTTGGGGTTTTTGGGGTTTGGGGTTTGAGGTTTGGGGTTTTGGGGTTTTGGGGTTTGGGGTTTGGGGGTTGGGGGGTTTGGGGGTTTGGGGGTTTGGGGTTTTGGGGTTTTGGGGTTTTGGGGTTTTGGGGTTTTGGGGTTTTGGGGTTTTGGGGTTTTGGGGTTTGGGGGTTTTGGGGGTTTGGGGGTTTGGGGGTTTGGGGTTTGGGGTTGGGGTGGTCACAGGGCTTTGTAAGCCTAAACTCTGAACTCTTACAACCCTAAACCAACCCCTACCCCCAAAAACCCTAAACCCTAAAACCTAATTAAACCCTAAACCCTAAACCCTAAACCCTAAACCCTAAACCCTAAACCCGGTTGCGTCGAAACTGCTTTGCCCTTCGAGGCCGGTGGTGGGCCGTTGCCCGGCAGGTGCCCCGCTTGGCCTTTCTGGGGAGTACTCCCCTCCCCCGAATATTAAACCCGCCCCTACCCCCTAATATTAAAAACCCCCAAGATACTACAATATAACAACAGGGGGGGTGTTGAATGTTAGGGGGTATAGGGGGGGGGGGTTCAATCTTAGGGGGAGGGGACTAGCCTTCAACTGAGGAGCTTTGAGGGGCTTCCTTGGGGCGTAAGGCGTAGAGGGTTGGAGGCGTAATAAGTGGTTTAGGGTATAGGGTTTAGGGTTTAGGGTTTGCTAAGGTTCCGCGCACACCACCACGCGGGACGTGTGTTGTGGTGTGCGCCCAGGTTCAACGCGCTCTCCCAACCCACCCACCCACATCTCAACCTTGGGCGGGTTTAGGGTTTTATAATGTCGTGTGTAAGTACAGTAGTGGGAGGGGGCGCTACGGGCCGCCTGCGGGTTTAGGGTTTTTTTTGCCCGGTGTTTCCAAAAAGGCTCAGACATGGTCCGGGAAGCTCAGAAATCAAAAAGGCTCAGAAACGGTCCGGGCGGAGGTCAGAAAATGCTCAGAAATGGTCCGGGAGGAGCCCAAAAAGGCTCAGAAATGGTCCGCAGAAAAGCCCAAAAAAGCACAGAAATGGTCCGGGAAGAGCTCAAAAAGGCTCAGAAATGGCCCAAAAGGCTCAGAAATGGTTCGGGAAGAGCTCAAAAAGCCCAGAAATGGTCCGGGGGGAAAAAAGGCTCAGAAACGGTCCGGGAGGAGCCCAAAAAAGCTCAGAAATTGTCCGGGAGGAGCCCAGAAAAGGCTCAGAAATGGTCCGGGAGAAGCCCAAAAAAGGCGCAGAAACGGTCCAGGCGGAGGTCAGAAAATGCTCAGAAATGGTCCGGGAGTAGCCCAAAAAGGCTCAGAAATGGTCCGGGGAAAGCAAAAAAAAACACAGAAATGGTCCGGGAAGAGCCCAAAAAGGCTCAGAAATGGCCAAAAAAGGCTCAGAAATGGTCCGGGGAGAGCTCAAAAAGGCTCAGAAACGGGCGGGCGGAGGTCAGAAAATGCTCAGAAATGGTCCGGGAACCCAAAAAAGGCTCAGAAAATGGTACGGGAAGAGCTCAAAAAGGCTCAGAAACGGTCCGGGCGGAGGTCAGAAAATGCTCAGAAATGGTCCGGGAGGAGCCCAAAAAGGCTCAGAAATTGTCAGGGGAAAAGCCTAAAAAAAACACAGAAATGGTCCGGGAAGAGCTCTAAAAGGCTCAGAAGTTGCCCAAAAGGGCTCAGAAATGGTCCGGGAAGAGCTCAAAAGGCTCAGAAACGGTCCGGGCGGAGGTCAGAAAATGCTCAGAAATGGTCCGCGGAAAAGCCCATAAAAGCACAGAAATGGTCCGGGAAGAGCTCAAAAAGGCTCAGAAATGGCCCAAAAAAGGCTCAGAAATGGTTCGGGAAGACCTCAAAAAGCCTAGAAAACGGTCCGGGAGGAGCCCAAAAAAGCTCAGAAATGGTCCGGGAGGAGCGGAGAAAAGGCTCAGAAATGGTCCGGGAAGAGCTCAAAAGGTTCAGAAACGGTCCAGGCGGAGGTCAGAAAGTGCTCAGACATGGTCCGGGAGGCTCAGAAATGGTCCGGGAAAAGATCAAAAAAACACAGAAATGGTCCGGGAAGAGCTCAAAAAGGCCTTTTTTGGGCTCTTCTGGGCTTTTTGAGCTCTTCCCGGACCATTTCTGAGCCTTTTTGGGCCACAGAAACGGTTCGGGAGGAGCCCAAAAAAGCTCAGAAATGGTCGGGGAGGAGCCCAGAAAGGCTCAGAGCTGGGGCCCCCCTGACCCTTAGGGGAGGACGCACCAGTGCGGGGTCACTAAAAACCTAAGGTTAGGGTAATTCTCTTTGGAGTTTGGAGCCAGACTGACGCTGGCACGCGGGTTAAACTCTTCTAGGCGTGGGCCGCGCTCACCGCGCGCAACGGCCCCGAGCCCTCGCCAGGCTAAGGCTCGGGCTCGTCCGCGGGCCTGTCGCCATCGCTCGCCGCTGCTTGTCGCAGCGCCCGCGGCTCGCTCCAGTTTAGGGTTTAGGGTTTAGGGTTTTAGGGTATGGGGTATGGGGCTTAGGGCCAGGGTTTGGGGGTTTCGTAGTCGAGCTCTAGGAGAGCAGGCCCTTATTCCATTATAGGGCTGAGGTTCGCTTATAATAAGCCCCGCTAGTAATTGAAGCCAAAAAGGGCACCCGCTTCAGGCCTAGGTTCCTCTTCTTGGGTCTAGCCCTAAACCCTAAACCCTAAACCCTAAACCCTAAACCCTACTGGAGTCAGGAGTTTTTGAAGCTGGGCGTTTGGGGCTTCACTGGCGTTGTTTGGGACCGGCCGGCGAGTTGGCACATGAAATCCTACGCAACCCGAGCGATCTGCGCCATAGGTCCGAGTGAAACGCGCAAGTCTAGGGTTTAGGGTTTAGGGTTCAGGGTTTAGGGTTTGGGGTTTAGGGTTTAGGGTTAGGGTTTAGGGTTAGCCTGACAGGCAACGTGGAGGACAAGGGACTGATCTATGATCAGCCGCGTTGCGTCATCGAGGCCGGCAGAAGATCAGGGTCAGGGCTTGTAGGGTTTAAGGCCCTAAACGTACAGTTTAAGAGCTCCCTAAACCAAAAACCTAGGAAACCAAAAACCGGAAACCCCTGAAACCTACAGGGTTTAAAGTTTTTGGGGCAGCCTGGGACCCCCAAATGCATGCGAACTGTGGGTTCAGCTCTCAGTCGTCAGAGTCTGGGGTTGCAGGGCGGGTTCACTTTTACGGCTTATTCCTTAGCGTTTAGGGTTTAGGGTTTCGGGTTTAGGGATACCAGGAAGCTTTGATGTTTTGGGTTTAGGGCTTATACAGCCTCGAACCTTTCACCAGAGCCTGGGCTGATCGTTGGGAGGGCGCTGCATGTGGCTTCCTAAACCCTAAACCCTAAACCCTAAACCCTAGACCCTAGACCCTAGACCCTAGACCCTAGACCCTAGACCCTAGACCCTAGACCCTAGACCCTAGACCCTAGACCCTAAACCCTAAAACCCTAAAACCCTAAACCCTATACCCTAAAGAATCTTGGAGGCGGTCAGGGGCATCTTTGTTTCGGAGCCTTGCGGGGTAAGCAGGGTTGCTTGTGGCTTGGGTTTATAAGGTTTTAGGAGTAGAGTTTCGGCCCATGGGGGCTTGAAGGACTACATTAAATGTGTATATACATATATATATATATATGTACATATACATATGTGTGTATATATATATATACATATATATATATATATAGAGAGACACACACTCCTTTTTTGCATTTATTTTGATTATGTACACACCTGTTGTATGTTAATGTGTATATACATATATATATATATATAGTTGTTAATTTACGGGTATCCTCCTTGTATAGTCATGTTGCGCAGACCAGGACTACGACCTGCCGTCACCAATTTTGGCTCAAGATGAAAAAGGGCCGCTCTGAAAGCGAGTTGTACGTAGGGTCGAGGGCTGTGTTGATCCCCAACCCTTTGTGGTTCTCCCTCTTGTTGCCTTGTTCCCTTAGCTCAGGCATCAGAGTTTTGAGTCTTTCAACTGGTTATCAGGTCCGTATTGCTTTCATAGCTAAGACCCTAAGTGTAGCTGCCTGAGAATGGATGGACAGTGAGCAAGAAGGTGCAAGCGCTCCTGCGAGGTGGCTCAGGCGCGTGCAGTCCTTGCTTTTGATTTTCACGGAGTCCTTGACCGTGATATTCGTCAGAGCACAAATTGGCGCGACGATTGCCCAGAGTATCCGGACCGCAACATTCGCTTTTTGCAGAGGTTGAGTCAGATTACGGAGAGCAGGCAGATATTGGTGGTGGTGCTTTCTTATTGCCGTCATTCTGACACAGTAGCTCAAGTTCTCGGCACGAGTTGCAACAGCACTGATCGGCTCATCCGTGAAGCAGGAGTTTCAGTCCTCTCGCTACTTTTTATCACCCGCAAACCCACGGGTGAATCAGGAAAGCGGGCGCTGCTGGAGAAGGTCTTTGATATTGCTCGTTGTCCCATTGCCATTGTTGACGACAGTGCAGAAGTTGTGGACGAGTGTGCCGGAGCATCATTCATCACTCCGTTCCACATTTCTTTGGCTAAGCGCGGCAAGCGAGTTGATCCTCGATCTACGGTGCCCAGTTTTTCTGGTCTGATTGAAGCAGAAGAGTCACTTTGCAACTGGTGTATCAACTCTGTTCCGAATTCCGAGGAGTGAGCGGAGTGCCTGTCCTTGAAGGATAGTTCGGCGAATTTTCGCCACATCCTTCCACGGTTGCACCAGTGAACGCCGTGAGCCTCGCCTCTTCCGCCAAAAGAAAGGGTGCGGTGAGCTGCTGCTAACCGCTTCCACCTCCCATAGCAATGTCTTCTCCTTCTGACCCTAGCAATCAAGCCAGCTCGGTGCTTGATTTGTCAAGTGCTTCAGCCACGGCATTGCCAGGTGGTGTTGGTTCGGATAGTGGTTCGGTTGCTAGTAGTTCAGCAGTTGAGGTCCGTGAAAGGTCCCCTCCTCTGACTAGACAAGCCTTGTCTAGACCTCGCAAAACTCATGAGCACTCAAGCCCTTACCCTAATCTAACCGCTCAAGCCTCATACACACAGAACATCCTGAATGTTGGAGCCTCTCCGCAAGAGGTTTTGGATGCACAGCGTCTAGCCGCAGCGCAAGCAGCGCAACATGTTGCTGATCATGCTGAACAGTTGCATGCCACAAGGCTAGAGCGTGTTGAGAATGAGGCTAGAGGTTTGGTTGAATCCACCGTTGAGCAAATGCGTGAGCAGTTGCAACAGTACGAACATCGCTATGATGAGATCCTTCAACAGGGTCGAATCTTGGAAGAACAGCTCTCTGTAGCTAAGGCCGAGCTAAGCAAGGCCGAAGCAGAACTTCAGGTCGCTCGTGCAGGGTACCAAGAGCTTGAAGCCGCCCTAACCAGCTGCCGGGGTGACAACAACTTGCTGAACTTCCAAAACACCCAGCTACGTGTCGAGTTGCAAGTCAAAGACCGCGAGATTCAGGGACTTCGCCAGGCTGCTGCAAGCGCCACGAGTCCTGGGTCTTCGCCTCCAACGTCTGCTCCTCGCCAGCCAGATAAGCCGCCGGTACTTGCGTCAAGTGCATGCTCTGGTGGGTTTAGTTGGGTACATAACGGTTCTAATGAGGATAGTAGTGGTGCACCTTCATTGCCGCAAGTTGTCAATGAGTCAGCCCCTTGCCCTCCTGCGACCGTCCCTCCTGCGACCGTTACCGATCCTCGTGTTGATCAGTTGATTGATGTCGTACAGCAACTGCTTGCCCAAAGAAATGGCACGGATCCAGGATGCAATGATGCATCTCCTGTTCATGAGATCGAAGAGCCTGAAAGGCAAGAGAAGCACATTGTTGACAGCCGAGCTTTGTTACATCTCAAGCTTGAGCCGGTTCCTTCCGACGCTGCTGGTTTCCGAGCCTGGAAAAACTCGTTGTTGGTCCAGATTGCCAAGCTTGACATGTCAGGCGAAGGTTTGGTTGTTGCATGGTTGTCTCGGTCTTTCACAGCTGAAAAAGAAGAGCTTACTGAATCAGGTCTTCTTCCTCGCCTTGATGCTTGGATTGCTGGAGAGATGACTTCCATGCGTGTGTTGAAGCAAGTGACTGAGTTGGCGCAAGAAGTTATCGCCTACGTTGAGTTGTGTGGCCAGACAGGGTCCCAGCCGAAAGGTCGATACATGCTTGCTCTTCTTGCTCGTCATTTCAGCATTGACCGCGTTCGAGGCACTGTGCTGACTGCTTCAACGTTGTTCCAGGTCGAAATTGGAGGAAACTCCATTCGAGATCTCCGGGATTTTGTGCAGCGCGTTCGGACTGTTCTGTATTCAATCCCAATAGGACAGAGGCCGGATGATCGCCTCACTGGCGAATGGCTCTTCCACCGTGTAAAGCACATTAGGAAGCTAGAACGTGTCATTGATGACATCAGAGAATCTGCGCCAGAATCCCGTCGTCGTGAGTGGAGTTACCTATGGAACAAGATACAAGACGTCATCGTTCAAGAACGAGAAGACACCAATGCTCAGTCGGTAATCAAGTCCCTGCAGATTGCAGCTCCGCAGGCAAAGGCCAGGGGGGTACCTGCTGAGACCGAAGAGCCACCGCGAAGTCCTCCAGCGCCCAAGACTCCGCCAGAGGCTCCAGTGTCTACAACCCCAGCACCAACCCCTGAGCCTGAGGCGAGAGCAAAGCCAAAAGCAAAAAGCATGTCAGATGCAGAAAAGGCTAAGACGCCTTGCATTTTCTTCAGGATGGCATCTGGTTGCATGCACGGAGAGGACTGCAAGTACAGTCATGACCCTGATAAGACCCCTAAGGTTGACCCTAAGTCTAAGCCTAAGGCCGCCGCTCCCAAACCCAAATCCACAGGAGCCGTTGCGAAGGCAGTCGTGGCAATGATTGCCGCCTCAAGCGTGTGCAACATCCCTGGAAGCAACGCCTTAAGCGTTGGGTGGGCTGCGGACACAGCTGCTGGTCGGCATCTTGGATCGGCGCGGGCGTTGGCAGACCGGGGAATTCCGTCGGAGTCATACAGGTCGTTTCTTGCGCGCTCAGCGAGCCTTGTTACGTTCCACGCAGGCGGTGGACCTCAGCCCGGTTCGCAGAGCTTGGGATTTGCGTCCGACAATATGCCTCTCGCCATTCACTACATGTTGGACAACTGCCCAGTTGTTCGAAGCACTGGCTTGGATGTTGAATCTGGGAAGGCCTTCATATGGTTACCTGGTTCCCTTCCATTCTTCGCGCATGACTTGTCTAAGCTTCGGGTCGACTGCGCCGAAGAAGCCAAGCTTTATGCCAAGCGCACAGATGAGCATGTGCCGATCTTCACCAGCAAATGTCAGTTTGTCCATGGTCTTGCTGCGTCAGCTGATTCTCTTGACGAGTCGGGTGAGGAATGCCAAGAGCCTTCGCGTCCCGTTGCCCATGATCCAGCTGAAGAGTATGCCAAAGACCTCCTAACAAAGCGTGGTGATATTCAGCCCAATCAAGTTCGTAAGATCTTTGGACTTATGAAACGCGTTTCCGCATCCCGAGGGATTGAGCCGAGCGATGACACGTCCTTTGCAGTAGGTTGCTTCCGTCGAGGTGGTGTGGTCGGTCTACTGAAGTCCAAGAAAGGGGTCATCTGGTTTTCCGCCAAAGATCGACTTCGTGCCACGAAGCCTTGGACTGGTGTTCGACTTGCGATGGTCTTGTGTGCGGCAACAGATCCTGCTTCTCTCGAGCATGATGTTTTGGATGCTCTCATAGGAGTTGGGTTTCTACTGGACAATCTTCCGCTGGTTGATGTCATTCCCGCAGAAGTTGATTCGTCCGAGATACCTTCCTCTTCGTCAGGGGGGTTACCCAAAGAACATCTTATCGAAGCAAGCCCTGATGGTCCTGCTGCATCTGCACTTCCTGAAGGGGACAAGCCTCTAGATTTGAGTCCACCTGGATTCCCCGTTGTGGATGATGCACATGTCAGTGATCGAGTTCGCAAACTGAGAGATGAAGCTGTAAGTGTGAAGCATCGCTTCTTCCACTTCCCAAAGAACCCGTTCTGTGATGTGTGCAATCAATCCAAGCTCTTGTCCAGAAGAGTGTGTCGCAAGCCTCGTGATGAGGACTCTGCGCCCGCGTTGCTGGAAGCCTCGGAATTTGGAGAAGTCATCGCAGCTGATCACATTCATGTGTTCAAGTCACTCAGCGACTCCAACGCTCCCGGAAGAGAGTATGTTGTGTTCGAGCAGTGCCCTGTTCAATGACGCGTTGCCTTTACTTGAAGTTTGGCAAACCGTGATTCTTGGCATCAAGCTTTTGTGTCATGCAAATAATGAAGCTTGTGTCGCCATTATCCGAAAGGATATTCAGCTAAGCTGAGAAAGGTAATCCTTTGACGAAGGCCCTTTCAATCCGGAAATGGGCTCACGCACTAAAGTTGCTGCGCATTTCTACTAAACATCTGCCAGATGTTCCCAGCTAAGTGTGTTCGCCATCACCTAAAGCTTTGTTACAATTGCCTCTGGTGATAATGTTGCGATGGTTGTTCAGCTGAGCGATACTTCCATCACTGTGCAACTTGCAGACACTCGGATGCCCAGCGGCCGCTCTCTTCATCCTTGTGTCATCCGCATGAGCTCTTGAAGAACTCGTTCCTAAATGCCTATCCTCAATCTCGCACTGTGTGATGTCGGTGTTTGGCTGCTGCCTAGCGCCACTCTGACTCTGCGTGAGCACAGCTGTGCTTCTGATTGGGAGTAGTCTTGTACAGTATCCATCATCGTGCTTTTGCAGACACTTGGATATGAGCCATCATCCCTGTGTCATCTGAATGAGTTCTTGAGGATCTCGTTCTGCACTCCTTGCCTGCCCTCAGCCTTGCACTGCGTGATGTCAGTGTCTGGCTGCCCCCAAGCGCCGCTCTGACTCCGCCTGAGCACAGTCCTGCACCGGTTGAGAGTAGTTTTGTATAGATTGCAGGTAGAATTACCTTAAAGGTTTATTGAGTCTACGTTTCAGCCTGATCACCTGAGATACCGGATTCAATTTGTACATGGCTAAGCCTGTACATCAATCGACAGTAGGTTTGGCTGCAGAGTTGAGCTCGTAGCTGTTGCTTCCTGAAGTCCAGAATCGAGCTTCAAATGAGCTCTAGGACTTGAGAGTCTGCAAACATGAAGGGGGGAGTTGTTAATTTACGGGTATCCTCCTTGTATAGTCATGTTGCGCAGACCAGGACTACGACCTGCCGTCACCAATTTTGGCTCAAGATGAAAAAGGGCCGCTCTGAAAGCGAGTTGTACGTAGGGTCGAGGGCTGTGTTGATCCCCAACCCTTTGTGGTTCTCCCTCTTGTTGCCTTGTTCCCTTAACTCAGGCATCAGAGTTTTGAGTCTTTCAACTTATATACATATATATATAGAGAGAGAGAGAGAGAGACATGTACCGAAACAAGAATGAATGCATACACATATGAAGCAACATGCATCCAACTTGACAGATAACACTTGCTGCCTCTGACAGACTGGGCATACTAAAGCCAAGCTGCAAAACACGCCGCAGCCTGGGCATGCATATCCAACGGAGCCTGACGACAATAATGTGCTGGCCAAGACCCTAAACCCTAAGCCCTAAACCCTAGAGCTAACCCCTAAACCCTAGACCCTAGACCCTAAACCCCAATCCGCGGCCCGAGATGCCTGGCACAGAGGTAGGTGCAACACACGTCCAAGCAAAGGAAGTAGTACCACCGACGGCAGCGACTTCTAGCCCTAACCCCTAGCCCTAAACCCTAAACTCTCCTTAAAGCCTAAGGTTAGCCTCTCTCCGTATTCACAAGGAAGGCGTCAGTGCCAGAGATATGTGTAAGGGCTGGGTTTGGGGTTTGGGGTTTGGGGTTTAGGGTTTAGGGTTTAGGGTAAGCCCACGATCCTTGACGTCATGACCCAGCGACTGCGAAGGATCCGGACTGTCCCCTGCCAGAGGAGGTCCCCGAAGGCGGTCGACTGTGTCATGTGTTTGTTTTCATAGGATGCCCAGTAGTACCCTTATTCCCTTTTTGGGGGGTTTAGGTTCCCTTATAAACCCCTTTAAGCACAAAAGGGCACCCTTTTCAAGCCTAGGTTACTGGGCAGCCTAGTTTCATAGGGACCCATCTTCCCAAATAGTAAGCCAAGCAAGCCCCCTTACATCAAGGAAGACGGGCCCCTGAGACCCCTCCCCTGCGCCCTCTGGATCGGGTTTAGGGTTTAGGGTCTAGTGTTTGGAGTTTGGGGTTTAGGGTTTAGGGCCTGACTCACAGGTCGAGGAGTGTGTAATGTATGGTCAAAAGAGCTTCCTGGTCACGCTTGTGAGTGAAGACCACGACCGCACCCTCAACCCGACTGAGCCCCGTCTCCCTCAAGCATAATCTAGGGTTTAGTGTTTAGGGTTTAGGGTTTAGGGTTTAGGGTTTAGGGTTTAGGGTTTAGGGCATGCTGAAACCAACTAGAAGACCCCAAGACCTCAGCTGTCGGATTCGTAGCTCGACCCCCTTCCAACTCTTCAACCCTAGATTCCCCACCCCCCCCCCCCCCTGGTTGGTCACATCCAGAAGTCCTGATAAGTTCTCCTCTGTACCTTCAGGGAGGATGTATTTCCTGCTTGGGGAGGGTCCCTAAGCCCCAAACCCTCAACCCTAATCAGCGATGCAACAGGGTTTCGAGTGCTGCGAGGGTCTGATGAGCATTTCTCGGGCTACAGGACTGGGTCATTGTTCAAAATCACGTTACATTGCTAAATTACATTGTTATGAAGATTTAACCCCAAAAAGGAACAACAATGATCATTGCACTCAGCAACGGTGCAGAGGTTGGGGTGCCTTGGTCCAGGCCTTCGGGATATTTCATGTTGCCCCTTGTTGGGTTTAAAGATCAGGTGTAGGAATACATTTTTCTGAGTCGAGCAGATCAGGATACGCCATCGAAAATGGGCAGTTCGTGTGCGCGGCCGGCTACGTAGGCTGGACAGCAGTATCAAGTGGATGTTTTGTGAGGCTTTGGGGTTAATGTTTTTTGAGTCTGTTTGGCGTTTCGGGCTACTGTAGGACTTTCGGTTCACGGCCTTGGGCTCAAGGTCCTTTAAGCATGGGTCTTGTTTTCCCCGCCGGTCTTCTGCAACCTCAACCTCCGGAGTTCACGATTCCAAGGGCCACTTCGAGCTTTCCGTTCTGCACGCGTAAACTGAAGTCCCTCATGAGTCTGCAAACCCTTGACCCTGATAAGTCCCAAACTCTAGAGTTCAGGGGTTTAGGGTTTAGGGTTTAGGGTTTAGGGTTTAGGCTTTAGGGTATTGCAAAACACTAACAGTGTCTGGAGTTCTTGCATCTCGGGGGGTGTGGGGGTGAACCCTTGGGGAGCCCTAGAGAGCATTCGGGAACTTGCTTACCCTACAACCCTTAGACACCCGGTCCCCCTAAGGACGTTGTAGGGTTTAGGTTTAGGGTTTAGGGTTTAGGGTTTAGGGTTTAGGGTCAAAATGCCCAAGTAAGGAGGCAGAAGGAAACACCGAAACATCCGTTGTTTGCTGTATTTCTTATATTGCTCGTTCTCTAAATTATGGTCCTTTTTTGGGGGGAATTTTATTTTTATGAAGGTTCTAAGGAGAGTATTGGTATGTCTTGAGGGTCCGGGTTTAGGTTCTAAAAGGTTCAGGCTCACCTACAACTTCACAGGCCCACAGCTCAGCCTTAGTTAGAATCAGTGCTCGATCCTTTTTCGGAAATGGAGTTCAAGAATATCCAATTCTGAAGGGACGGTCAAACTAAATTGAAACAATGTTGCCAGGCTCTTCCTGTAGTTTAGTAGCAATGACCCCTCAGGCAGCAGATCTGACCCAGGAAGTTTAAATTGTAGGTATATAGAGTCCCTGGGTAGTGCCCTAACCCCTTACCCCTAAACCCTAAACCCCAAACCCCAAACCCTAACCCCTAACCCCCAAACCCTAAACCGTAAACCCGAAACCCTAAAGCCTAAAGCCTAAAGCCTAAAGCCTAAAGCCTAAACCCTAACCCCTAACCCCTAAACCCTAAACCCTAAACCCTAAACCCTAAACCCTAAACCCTAAACCCTAAACCCTAAACCCTAAACCCTAAACCCTAAACCCTAAACCCTAAACCCTAAACCCTAAACCCTACCCCTCCCAACCCTAAACTCTACAAACCCAAAGCAGCCGGAGGCTCCTATGTGCTAAGCCGCTGCGGACACGACCGGAATTGCAAGAAGGCGCGAACCAACGAGACTGGGGGCGTCCGACATCTTGAGGGCTCCAAACCCTTAGGGTTTAGGGTTTAGGGTTTAGGGTTTAGGGTTTAGGGTTTAGGGTTTAGGGTTTAGGGTCTTTAAGCCCGAGCTCTAAGCTCTAAACCCTAAACCCTGCACCCAAGATCTCCCTAGGTTTCAGGATTTGTGGCTGAAGCTGTCCGTCTCGTAGCCTGACAGTTTAGGGTTTCGGGTTCAGGGGTTTCGAAGAGCTGGCAGCGTTGCGCGCTGTGCTGTCTTCGGTTCGACTCCGGGTGCAGAGCTTTAGGGTGAAGATGGACCCTAAACCCTAAACCCTAAACCCTAAACCCTAAACTAGGTCTCAAGAGGGCTCCTACTGGCAGAATCCCTAAACCTAGCCCGAACCCAAACCTTATTGTAAACCTCCGCAAGAGGGCGAACCTTTACAAGGACCCAGTGTGGGCCCTTATTCCCTTTTCCTTGGGCTTAGGTTCCCTGAGAAGCCCCTTTAAACCAGAAAGGGTCCCACTTTTGTCCTTGGTTACTTTGGGGTTTAGTTTATGACCCTGCCCCTTTTTCGGAACCCTTAGCCTTGAACCGTTGGCTTTAGGAGCTATGGTTTGTTTTGTGCGGAGATAAAAACCCAAGGGCATATCAACAATGCTGTTTTGATCATGGTTCTAGGCATAGGACATGACCTCAAGCCAAGCGCATCTCCGCAGGCTCTTGACCCCATTGGCTGCACGCCGACAGTGCAGCTTGGATGCCATTGGGGTTGGTTTGGGGTGACCCCCCAAAGGAGCCCGATGCCCCTTAATGTAAGAACTATTCGTTTAGGGTTAAGGAAATAGAAAACCTTGTTTTAGTATCTGGATCCCTATATCCTAAGTAGTAGTTAGGGAGACCTCTCATAGGGGCCGTGGCGGGGACCTACTTGGCCCTCGTGTGTTCCTCAAGGGACAAGGGACCTTAATAATTGAGATTGTCTGTGTCCCAAAGGCCCCATATCTTACCGTTTAGGGTATATAGGGTTTAGGGTTTAGGGTTCTTTTACGTTAGACATGCCGATGTACATCTCTGCCGTTTTCCTGCAAGGAACTGTGCACCTCTCAAGATCGACCCTTGCGAGCGAGACAATGTGGCTGGGGGCCTTGGGCGTACAAGATCTGTGCATTTTGGAGCAAGGGCCTGTTTAGGGTTAGGGTTGAGGGTTTAGGGTTTAGGGTTTAGGGTTTAGGGTTTAAGGTGTAGGGTTGAGGGTTGAGGATTTAGGGTTGAGGGTTGAGGGTTTAGGGTTGAAACCCCACCCCAAACAGGATCTAGGCTCGGCACGCGAAAATGTTCGAGCAAGGTGGCAGCGGGACTGCGCCTTGTGCTTTCTTGGAGTTTCTAGGGTTCCCAGATCTTCCAAAACCCCTTAATGAAGGAATAGACCCTAATTTATAGTAAGGATTCTTATGATGAGTTAGGGTATATTCCTTAGTGAAGGGGTTTTGGAAGATCTGGGTTGCCAAAGCCTTAACAAACTCTGGGCTTTCGCGTGTGGGGGGGGGGGCGCTTAATTAGGGCGTCAGATTTCTACAGCAGGGTCTCCGTGCCAGGAATTCAGGGGCTTCAGCGGCTTCAGCCCCTAAACGCCGAAACCATGAACCCATCCCCATCCCCCCAGACTCCCAACTCAACCCCTAAACTGCTACGCCCCTGGAATCCTCGACGCCGCGAACCCTTAGCCAAAGCCCTACGTAACCTTCCTAGAACCCTCAACCCCCTACAATCCTTACCAGCATGCTGGAGCCCCTATCCCCCGAATCACAAGCGCAACCCACCCTGAAGCACTACATCCTAAACCCCAAGTCCTAAAAGCGCGCAATGCAAGCACCTAACCCTAAGCACCTAACCCTAAGCCCTAAACCCTACACTCATTAACCTTGAACATGCACCGCCCTTGCACCCTAAAAAACCCAAATGCCCTACACCTCCTACACCCCCTAAACTGCCCTAGACCTCCTAAATTGCCTGAACCCCCTAAACCTTAAACCCTAAACACTAGACCCCCTAAACCCCCTGAATCCCCAAATCCCCTAAACCTTCACACACAAAGATCCCAAGGGGTGCTGGGATGTCAAGGCCTGTTGGTTGTGGGATGATGTGGGGTTTAGGGCTTAGGGTTTAGGGTTTAGGGTTAGGGTTTAGGGTTGAGGGTTTAGGGTTTAGGGTCCAGGAGGCTCAGCCTTTAAACCCCCAGGGTGGGTTTACAAGGGAAGGGACTTGGGCCCTAAGCCCTAAACCCTAAATCCTAAACCCTAAACCCTAAACCTGAACCCTGAACCCTGAACCCTGAACCCTGAACCCTGAACCCTGAAGCCTGAACCCTGAACCCTGAACCCTGAAAGCGCGGGTTTGTGGCTTAGGGGTTGGGAATCTTGGAGAGGGTTCGGGAGTTGGGGCCTCGGTGATTGAGGAATCTGTCGGAGGTTCTAGATTTATGTGGGTTCGATTTTTGGACGTGCTGCGTTTTGAGGGTTTGTTATGTTGACTGGATACTTGTTGGGTTGTCAAGGTGAGGGTGTAGGGGTTCTCAGAGAGGTTTGCTAGGATTTAGGGTGCCGAGGATTGTGCAGCAATTCTGCTCCCTGATCCCTAAACCCTAAACCCTAAACCCTAACCCCTAGCCCCCAAACCCTAAACCCCAAACCCTAAACCTTGAACCCTAAACCGAATCCTAAGCATTGCAAGCCCCGAACCCTCGAATCCCAGAATCGCACTCTACACCAAGGCACGGAATTAGAAGGCACGGAATTAGATGCCACAAGAGGAATCGGGTCCCTTAGGGAGTAGTGGGGAGTGTTAGGGAACCTTGGGTTACATACCCACCTTGACCCCCCCCTAAGAGCCCTATCAAACGACCATCATTGACAAGCCGAAATTAGTGAAGTAAATGACCCATGTTGCAACTCTTAGACTTCCCACAAAGTTATCACTGAAACCATCTCAAATACGCATTCTCATGAAGCATGCCCTTATGTTAACTCTTCCAATCAATCAAGCCCACCCAAAAGCAGCCGTGGGAGAAACTAGACTTTGCAGCCTTTTTGAATGTATTCTGCAGCTTAGAAAAACCCTACAATCCCCGAAAATAGCCTGAGCCGCAGACCTCTTAACCCGGAAGACCCCCCCTCCCCCCGAAAAAAAACCTATTCTTCCTTATCATTCGACCGGGTGTTCTAGGGATGGCTATGCTTTATGTGTTGCGGGTTCTTAACCAAATCGTAAACCCCAAACCCTAAACCGGCCAGAGCCCAAACCCTAAACCCTAAGCCCTGAACCCTAAGCCCTAAACCCCAAGCCCTAAACCCTAAGCAGTAAACCCTAGACCCTAAACCCCAAACCCCAAACCCTAAACCCTAACCCCTACGGGTCTCCCACCAAAAGCAGGCTGGAGGGAGCTGCTTCATCGGCTGCAAGTCGCCCTTCTACGGCACCCCAACGGTCGCCCGCTGTCCGGCACGCTCCCGAGAGAGCTTCTGAGGCCCTAAACCCTAAACCCCAAACCCCAAACGTTAAACCTTTAAACCCTAAACCCCTTAAACCCCTGAACCCCTAAACGCCCAAACCCCAAAGGCCCCCATGAGGGTTTGGGTTTGTGAGGGTTTCGGGCTTCTGGTGGTTCAAGGCATTGAAGGGTTGTTCCCCAGAGAGCTCTCCTTGTTGGGGGCCCGGGCTGTGAGGCTTCGAGGCTTACCCTAAACCCTAAACCCTAACCCCTAAACCCTAAACCCTAAACCCTAAACCCTAAACCCTATAAAACCCCATCGACCCTCTTGCACGAGCACAGTGACTCCGTGTGGTGTCTTGAAAGCAATGGAAAGGGCATTGGGCACATCGTCAAGGACCGAGATGCCCACGTACTTAAGATTTCTGTGATTCAGATTGGGGTTTAGGGTTTAGGGTTTAGGGTTTAGGGTTTAGGGTTTAGGGTTTAGGGTTTAGGGTTTAGGGTTTAGGGTTTAGGGTTTAGGGTTTAGGGTTTAGGGAGTGGTAACAAATCCACTCGTCGAAGCACCTCAGCCGGGTGCTTGATGCTGGATGGCGCTCCGGTGTACTGCTTCTCCAGGTCGCAAGCACGTGTGGCCCTAAACCCTAAACCCTAAACCCTAAACCCTAAACCCTAAACCCTAAAGCTGAGTACATAGCCATGGTCTCAGGTGCATGTAACGGAATCCGATCTTTCAACCCTAAACCCCTCTCTAGGTAGGGTTTTGATTGCTTAGACTCACCAGGCTTTACGGGTTTAAGGGGTTTGTCCTCGAGGTTGCTAATGGAAAAGGCAGGCGTTCAGGGTTTCGGGTTTAGGATGCCAGGTTCCTCAGCTACATTTGCGTTCCCTGGTTCTACGTAGACCGTACTTGAAATCCTAAACCCCCTGACACCCCGAACTCTAAAGCCCTGAGGCCCTAAAGGATCTAACGGGCCCCAAATCCCACTTTTGCTGCTTTGCCACCTGAAATCTGAAGCCCCCAAACTGGGCCCCAAACCCTAACACTTAGCCCGAAACCCTAAACTCTAAAACCTAAACCCTAAACCCTAACCTCAAACCTCAAACTTCAAATCCAAGACCTGGCATCCTGGACGCTGAAAACTAAACCCCAAACCCCAAACCCTAAACCCTCAACCCTGAACCCTAAATCCTAAACCCTGAACCCTAAACCCTACTAAACCCTAAACCCTAAACCCGACTAAACCCTGAAACCTACTGAACCCTAAACCCTAAACCCTAAGCCCTAAGCCCTAAGCCCTAAGCCCTAAGCCCTAAGCCCTAAGCCCTAAGCCCTAAGCCCTAAGCCCTAACCCTAAACCCTAATTAAACCCTAAACCCAGGAGGGCAACACGGACCCCAACACGCCCCTGGAGTACGACTTGCCGGGAACCCAAGTGACTTAAGGGTTTCGGGTTTAGGGTTTAGGGTAAACTTAGTAGTAGAATCGGTAACCTTTATCCTTTTGGGGGTCATACATGCCCTTGATATTCCCAGATTAATTAACCTGTGGTTCTCCCAGGATACTGGACAACTAAGGGGAAGCGGGGCTTAGCATGCGGGGATTTTGTGCTTAGGGGTTTCGAGTTTGGGGCTTCAGGTTCAGGGTTTAGGGTTTGGGGTCCTTTGGGGGGTTAGGGGGGTTTCAGGGGTTTGGATTCAGGGGTTTAGAGATTCATTGGTTTAGGGTTTCGGGGTATTGGGTTCAGTTAGGGTCAACCCTGTTTAACCTTCAGTTCAGTAGCCGTGTTTGTTATGAGCAGGTGTAATCCATAGCATTCCCCTAACCCTGAATCCCAAACTCTACACCCCAAACCCTAAACCCTAAAACCTAAACCCTAAACCCTAAACCCTAAACCCTAAACCCGAAGTCGGTAAATGGAGTCCGGGTAGCTCGCTTTGCATGGTAGGGTAGGGAACCAGGCCCGCAAATCACAACGCCCTCTCTCCACAACCCAAGCCCTGAAACCCGCATCCTAATATTTGCACAGGGTTCAGGGTTTAGGGTTTAGGGTTCAGGGTTCAGGGTTTAGCGTTTAGGGAAGACTAGTAAAAACAAAAAAAGCCGCCGACGCGGGCTTTCGAGATGCTTTCGTGGGTCCCTGCCTTCGAGATGCTGTCGTGGTTCCATGCCCGGCCTTCCAGGGAACAGGGTTCCAGAAGTTTCGGTGTAGGGTGTAGGATTTGGGTATAGAGGTTTAGGAGTTTAGGGTTCAAGGCCTAGCTTGCTTAGGAGCCAGAGTAGGCCCCTGTTCCCTTTTGTTAGGATTTAGTAGGTTCCTGTCTAATCCCCTTTAAACCAGCAAGGGCACCCTTTTTATTCCTAGGTTACTCTTTGGAGGGCTTAGGTTAGTTACACCCGGCTTGGGGGATGCTCGACCTTGAACGCATTGCGGAGGACCTTCTGCTTCTGTGCAGACCCTCCGGTCTCCCGGCCGCGCTTAGAGGGCCTTCGGTTGTTTGGGCTGAAGCGTATGAAGCAGGGGTATAGATTTCTGTTTTTGGTGAGTGTACATAAGGCTCCTTCTTAATATTGGTGAGTGTATGTGTTTGGTGTCCTTTTGGGGGTACAAGAAATATAAACCCTACTTCATATAGGCCTTCCACCCCAACGCCCCTTGTGTAAATCCAGGATGAAGACCCCCCCCAAAAAAAATCCCAGTGCGCTTCGATTTCATCTTGCCCGCTGTAGGGCCTCGCGGTGGCAGCATGTTTCCCCTAAACCCTAAACCCTAAATCCTAAACCCTCAACCCTCAACCCTCATGTTCACTTAGAGAGCTGACCACATAAGATGGCTCCTTTTCTGCCGCCGCCTACGACTTGGAGTGGGCCCTTATTCCCTTCTTTCAGTGGGCTTAGGGTTCCCTTCTAGGCCCCTTGAAACCAAAAAGGGTTCAACACCCTAAACCCTAAACCCTAAACCCTAATCCCTAAACCCTAAACCCTAAACCCTAGTCATTCCTGGGTCACCCTTGAGTCTAAAAAGACCTTGTGCGGACACCCGAGTCCTAGGGCTCGCTTCCCGGAGGAGAGACTCGTCCCTAAAACTCTAACATCAACAAAGCGGGTGCCTTGTTGGGTTTAGGGTTTAGGGTTAAGGGTTTAGGGGTTAGGGGTTTAGGGTTTAGGGGTTTAGGGGTTTAGGGGTTTAGGGGTTTAGGGGTTTAGGGGTTTAGGGTTTAGGGTTTCGGGTTTAGGGTTTAGGGTTTAGGGTATCCGGATCTCCTCTTGCTAGCTCTCGCAGATGTGAGCTTTAGAGGGCTTTTTCCTTATGGTTAGACCTGACTACGAGCTAGTTGCAACTGAAACGCGGGCAAGCAGATTTACCCCTAAACCCGAAACCCTGAACCCTAAACCCTAAACCCTACTGTTGAACCTAAGCCCCAAACCCCAGAACCCCTCTAAACCCTGTGCCTTGCAACTGTATCGCCGTAGTGTTCAGGGACCTTTAAACCCTAAACCCTAAATTTAAATCCTAAGCCTTAAACCCTATATAAAACAACCCAAACCCCAAACCCCAAACCCTAAACCAAGCAGTTGCCAGTTCACGCCTGCGGGCTACACCAAAGACATGTTCGGGCTGTGGATCTGCGAGGAGGCCCCATAGCAGGGGTACGACGTTGGGAAGGCCATTTATTGTTCATGGGCTTTCGGACCCTAAACCCTAAACCCTAAACCCGAAACCCTAAACCCTAAACCCTGCAGGTCGGAGTTGTGTTTTTGTTCGTTTGTGAGGTGTTTGGGGCCTTGCAAGGGGCTTGTAGTTAAGTTTCTGAGATCAAGTGGTTCAGGGTTTGTGGCTTAGGTAGGAGGTTTAGGGTCTATAGCTTAGGGTACATAAGCCCTGAATCTAAACCCCATGAACCCTACCTGTGGAGCCCCCCCCCCTCCCTCCCCACACCCTCCCCGGCCCATTCTAAGGACTTTGGACGAGAACATCCCCAAACCCAACATCCGAAATCAATGCAATGCCTAAGTATCTCTGGAGCTCAGATTTTCGGACTTGGGATCTTACGGGGTGGCTGTGCAGCGTTGAGGGGGTTGGGCACTCAGCCCTAAACCCTAAACCCTAAACCCTAAACCCTAAACCCCCAACCAAGCCTCCCAGTTCCTTGCGCGTTTCGGGCCAAGGCTTAGGGAGCCCAGGCTAGTTACAAGCTCAACATGGGGGAGTTGGACAATGAGGTTGGACAACGAGGTTCCCCATATAGTCCCGGGGATGTGAGGTCCTTTTATTCAAAAACTCCCTATCAAGACTGAATAAGGGTTTAGGGTTTAGGGTTTAGGGTATCGTTATGGTATCGTTTAGGGTTCTGGCACAATTTTTTCGGGCCAGTGCAAGGGCTGGTAGGACGCCACGGACACGGATGAAGCCCTAGTCCGCGAACCCTTAGAGCCCAGAGCAAGCTCCTCAGGGTTTAGGGTTCGTCAAGGCCCTCACAGCCCTTCGATTTCTCAGGGCTTGGGCTTGGAATACCTCACTTCCTCCAGCCTAGCCCGTACCCTCAAAAAAAATGCGCCCCCGCCCCCTCCCAAGACTAGCCAAGAGTCCCCTTGCTTTCGCAGGGCTATGCCGGCACGGCCGTCAAGCAGTGCCGTGTGGGCGAGGTCCGCGTAGGGGGTTTCAGGGTTTAGGGCTCAGGGTTTGGGTTTAGGGGTATAGTAGTTAGAAGTAGGGTTCAACGCAGTCTACTTGCGGTTAGGATATCAGTCTACACTGCTTCTGACCTCGCTTAGAACCTCAGACCCTAAACCCAAAACCTTACACACTTAAATCCGAAACCTTTAACCCCTCAACCCTTACAGTGAGTTGAGGGCCCTTGTCTCTCCATCACTCACCCAGGCGCACAGGAGTTTGGGGTAGACCTTCAAAACCCGTGAGGTTTAGGGTGTCGGGAGCACGTATTTGGCGACATGGCCTGGCAAGTTGGGTGATTTGCAACACACCAAGATGGCAGACCCAGTGCAGCCGACGTGGACATCCTGGAACAAAGCTTGCTGCTTCTTTCCTGTGACTCCAAAAGCCTACAAAATTGTAGGTTCTACGCCCGAACCCCCCCTAAATATAGGGCCAAACCCCCCAAAAATGGTAGGCAAATGGAGCCCCCCAAAAAGGGTCCACGGTTGAGGGAGTTTGGGGTTCTTGCATGGTTTCACCAGGGAAGTAGGGGATTCGGTACAGATGGCCCCTTAATGAAAAGAGCCCTGCTTCCCTCGTTCTTGAGTTCCCTGCGTAGGGTTTAGGGTGTAAGGGTTTTCAGGGTTAGGGTTCAGGGTTCAGGGTTCAGGGTTCAGGGTTCAGGGTTCAGGGTTCAGGGTTCAGGGTTCAGGGTTCAGGGTTCAGGGTTCAGGGTTCAGGGTTCAGGGTTCAGGGTTCAGGGTTCAGGGTTCAGGGTTCAGGGTTCAGGGTTCTTAGGGTTTAGGGTTTAGGGTTTAGGGTTTAGGGTTTAGGGTTTAGGGTTTAGGGTTTAGGGTTTAGGGTTTAGGGTTTTTAGGGTTTAGGGTTTAGGGTTTAGGGTTTAGGGTTTAGGGTTTAGGGTAGGGTAGTTAGGGTAGTTATTAGTCAGGGTACAGTAGTTAGGTTTTTTGTCAGGCACGTGGGGTTCATATGTTCCACTCTGACAGGGGTTTCGGGTTTGGGGTTTTAGGGTTTACGGTTTAGGGTTTAAATTAAGGAATGGCTCCTCATCATGAAATAAGGTCTGTTCCATCTCAGCCAACGACCCTCCCTCCTCCAGTACAATTACAGCCGCATTGGTGCGTCGGCGCCTGGCATGAAGGGATCAGAGGAAGGATCGCGAAGCTGGTGAAGGAACTCGAGGCGGAGCTGGTGAAGGAACTGAGTCGAGAACGTGTACAAGGCTGATGTCCGGGCGTTGGAGCAAGCGTTGGCAGCTTCAGCAGTCATGCGTGACTCTGTCATGGGTTCCCCTACTACCCGCCCTCCATTCTACACCTCCTCGGTTTCCCCCTTAAAGAACCTTAACTAGGCCTAAATAGCCTTAATGATGGCGGAATCTGGTAGGGGGGGGGGGGGTAGCCCAAGGCTGTAGTGGCCGGGACCTGGAAGAAGAAAGAGCTGACCCTAAACCCTAAACCCTAAACCCTAAACCCTAAACCTTAAACCCTAAACCCTAAACCCTGATTGGAGGTTTGGCCTTTCTGGCTCAGGGCTTCGAGTGTTTCACGTCCGAAACCCATCCAACACGCCGCCAGGGTCGACGGACCCTAAACCTGAAACCCTAAACCCTAAACCTGAAACCCTAAACCCTAACCCCCAACCCCCAACCCCTAACCCCTAACCCCTAAACCCTAAACCCTAAACCCTAAACCCTAGGTTAGAGAAATACCCACATCGCTCCTTGTTGCCGCAGACCTGCATCGCGGATGCAGAGCTGATCGGCTGCCAGGCCGAGCTGAGGGTGGGAGGGAAGGTTGAGGGTTTAGGGTTTAGGGTTTAGGGTTTAGGGTTTAGGGTTTAGGGTTTAGGGTTTAGGGTTTAGGGTTTAGGGTTTAGGGTTTAGGGTTTAGGGTTTAGGGTGAACTCGAGACGCTTCACTGAATCCCCTACACCCCGAAGTCCCTAGTGCCCCTACACTCCAAGACACCAAGCTCCTGAGCTCCTTTTCTCCACTAGGACCGGTAGGCCATGTTTCCATTTTTTTAGGGTTTAGGGTTTAGGGTTTAGGGTTTCGGGTTTCGGGTTTCGGGTTTAGGGTTTAGGGTTTAGGGTTGGGGTTTCCTTTATAGTCCCCTTGAAACCAAAAAAGGTACCCTTTCTATTCCTGGGTTACTCCCGGGTCTAGATACTCCACAAACTGAGCTCCAAACTCCTGAACCTTCCTAGGCCTCACGCTCCAAATGCTTAACTCTAAACCCATAAACCCTACGCCCTAATCCCGGTCTGGGGTTAAGTTACGGTTTATGGCTTAGGGCTTAGGGCTTAGGGCTTAGGGCTTAGGGCTTAGGGCTTAGGGCTTGGGGCTTGGGGTTTGGGGTTTGGGGTTTGGGGTTTAGGGTTTCGGGTTTAGGGTTTAGGGTTTAGGGTAACCCTGAATCCCCAAACTTCCGCGGCCAGAAGCTGGAGCCTTGCGCCGCGCTACAGCCCACATCGTGCGAGCAGGACGTTTCCAACTGCCCCTTTGGCATGGTTTAGGGTTTAGGGTTTAGGGTTTAGGGTTTAGGGTTTAGGGTTTAGGGTTTAGGGTTCAGGGTTTAGGGTTTGGGGGTCTAGGGTTTAGGGCTTATATGGGAGTTTACCAAAACAGGGCGACTCCAAAGACAGACCCCAAGTAGTAGGGTTCCCTTGCATTAATAAGGATCCCAATAGTGTACCCCTATCTTTAGGAACCCCCCCCAAGTTCCAAGCGCTAAACCATAAGCCCCGCGACCTGGCACAAAAACACACACACACACACAACGCATCAACAGGAAAAGTTCACAAGGACGTATACGCGTGCCCTCAACTCCAGACCCCAAAACCCTACATCCTAAATCCTCAACCCCAAAACCCCTAAACCCAAAACCCCAAACTCTATGAAGGTCTTAAGCCATTCTCTGTCTGAGCCTTGGGGGGTTGGGCCAGGTCTGTGCATGTCTCCTTTCATTTGGGTTTAGGGGTTAGGGTTCAGGGTTTAGGGTTTAGGGTTCAGGGTTCAGGGTTCAGGGTTTAGGGTCAGACGTGGCTCAGAGCTTGGTCTTGGAGTATGCCCCCGGCCTGCCTTGTCGCCCTCAACGTCATGTCATTCGGATCCTTGATGGTAGACTCGAACCCCTAAGCCTTAAACCCTACATACCAAACCCGGAATCCTAAAACCTTATCCCTTATATATCCCTAAACCCGAACTCCTAAACCCTAAGCCCAAACTCTACAAACAAGATGGAACGAATTGCTTCGGCCCCCGAGGTGCGAGCGTGGCGCCAGGCCAGGGGCAGCGTGCAGGGGCTAGGGATTTTACATGTTGTTGTTTTGGTGTTTTGTTTTTATTTGAATTTCTTATTTAATGTTTTTTTTTTTTTTTTTTTTTGGGGGGGGGGGAGGGGCTTGGGGGTTTAGGGCTTACGGCTTAGGCTTGAGGGTGATGGGCTCCAAAAAAAACACTAGGGGTAAAGGGATTAAGCCCCCAAAACGTAAACCCCTCCACTATAGGAATGTTAAGCAATCATGTGGGAATGGGAGTACGAGGACGGACACGCATGTCACTGTCTTGCGAGCCCCCACCTAGACCCCAAATTACAAACCCTAGACTAGACCCCAAAGCCACAATGGTATCAAGGCATGTCAAGGCGCAGCCCAGTAGCCTTGAAAAAGGGGAAGCTATCCCTGTAACAAAAAGCGGAGGAAGGCTGCCTCTTAGAAGCCTTTGATCCTAAAATCTATGGCCTAAATCCCTCCCACGCGCTGAACTATCTAGGAAACTTGAACCCCTAAAGCCCATGACCCCACACCCAAGTGTACACTTACTACTCGTACCCCATAACCCAGAATCCCAAAGCCCAATCTATAAAAAATGAAACCCTACACCCGAAACCCTAACCCTAAACCCTAAACCCTAAACCCTAAACTTTCCTGCAGGTGGCAGCTGTGTCGTCACTTGTCGGTCGCCTTGGGCCACAGCGCCCTGGGCCTGTTGTGGCGCTTGAGCGCGCTCACAGGGGTAGGAGTGTGGAAGGGCGGAGTCGCCAAATAGGAGTACCGGGTTTAGGGTTTAGGGTTTAGGGTTTAGGATTTAGGGTTTAGGGTTTAGGATTAAGGTTGCCAGACGTCCGGAGTGTGTGGTGCTTGGGGTTTTTAAGGGTTTGGTCGTTCGGGTTTGGGGGTATTTGTTGGGGATTGAGGGCCGAGAGTTCACATGCTTCCCAAATGAGGTGTTCAGTTGTGAAGTACATAACCTAGGACCGGGAGTAGGCGCGTTTTTCATTTTCTTAGGGTTGGGGTTCCCGTATAACCCCCTTCAAATCAAAAAAGGTACCCTTTTTTATTCCTAGGTTCCTCCCGGGTCTTGAGGGTTTAGGGTTTAGGGCTAGGGTTTAGGGTTTAGGGTTTAGGGCTAGGGTTTAGGGTTTAGGGTTCGTTCAGGGTTTCAGGGTTTAGGGTTGAGGGAGTTGGGGGACCCTGATATGTCGGTTAAGAACCAGTAACCCTAAACCCGAAACCCTAAACCCTAAACCCTAAACCCTAAACCCTAAAGGAGCCCCGAGGTCCTGCACTCTCGCCCCTAGAGGGTTTCCTAAACCCTAAACCCCAATTAAACCCTCCCTAAACCCCTAAACCCTAAACCCTAAAACCCAAGATTCTAATTCAACCTAATTGAACCCCAATTAAACCCTGATTAAACCCTAGTTAAACCCTAATCAAAACCCTAAAACCCTAAACCCTAAGCACTTCAAATTAAGCGTGCAGGATGTGGAGACTTTTTTTTGGAGAGTTTCAAGTGTGCAGGCAGCTCAGTCGTATAAGGCAGGGCTTAGGGTTTAGGGTTTAGGGGTTTGGGTTTAGGGTTTAGGGTTCGGGGTTTAGGATTAGGGGTTTAGGGGTTTAGGGTTTAGGGTTTAGGGTTTTGGGCTCAGGGTCGCCTGTTGGCGTTGCAGGTTACATCCACCACGGCAACCTGTCCGGATGGCAACGCAACTTAGCTCAAGGCTGAGGGCTTTACTTCTCTTAGGGTTTAGGGTTCAGGGTTTAGGGTTTAGGTTTTAGGGTTTAGGGTTGGAGGTTCATGGGCACTCCGAGCCCCAAATTATACGTTTAGTTGTAACCTACTTAGAGGGCTTAGGGTTTAGGGTTTAGGGTTTAGGGTTTAGGTTTTAGGTTTTAGGGTTTAGGGTTTAGGGTTTAGGGTTTAGGGTTTAGGGTTTAGGGTTTAGGGCGATGATAGGTGGTTCATGGGTGCTTCTAACACCAAGTAACAGTCTAGTTGTAACCTACTTGGAGGATTTAGGGGGGGCTTGAAAGTATAGTTGTAGTTGCGGGTTATGCGTACCCTGAACCTTTAAGTAGGGCTTCAGGGCATGTCGGCTTTGGGTTCGGAATGTTCACCCAAACCCTAAACCCTAAACCGGGTTCAGGGTGTGGGGAGCAGGGTTTAGGGATTCGGGGATTAGGTTTGAAGGGGCAGTCGCAACCCCAAACTCTGAAGCCCGCCCTTAACGCCGACCAAGTACGACACGCATCAAGGATTAGGGCTTAGGGGGTTACTCGGGAGGTTCATGGGTACTTTTCAGCCCCCGCAAGTCCTCTAAGCAGGTGATAAGTAGACGTAGAATTGGGGGTTGTCAGTACCCATGAACCTCCAAGTGATAGGGGTTTCGAGGTTTATAAGGGTTGGGACCGCTTTCTTCTAGGTCGCTCCTTCTGGTTGGGGCTTTGTTGCCGGTTCGGTTCCCTTACAATCCTCTCAACCCTCTCTATTCTTAGCATACTCTGGGGCCCTATAAACCCTAAACCCTAGCAGAATCTGGGAGCCTCTACAAGGTCGACCCTGTGCGCACCGTCGACTGGACGCCCCCGGTGTGCCCACACCCAGCAGGGGCAAGGGTATTCAAGAAGATCTGGGGTTTTGCCAGGGTTTTGGGCTTAGGTGGGGAGGGAGGAGGGGGTTGGGGTTTTCATGGGGGTTTGTATTCGCCAGCGTTCAGGAGGGCTTTTAGGATTTTGTCGGGGGGGGGGGGGGGGGGGGGGGGGGGGGGGGGGGCGGGTTCGGGTTGGGGGCCCGGCGGCTTGCAAAAGTTACCAGCATTTCCAGGTTTGGGGGGGGGGCTGCCACAAATCCCCAAAGACTTGATCAACAAACGTTCATGTGTAGTAGTCGAAGAGGTAAGCTAGTGAAACTTTGCCCCTTTGTTAGGGGTGGAGAGGGTGGGGGGTGAGCTCCGGTGGCAGTTCTTAGTCCCCCTTGAAACTTGGAAACTGGAGAAGCAGGTATCGGCCAGTCCAGGCCCGAAACTCGGGACCCCACGCTACCCCCTAGAATGAGGACCCCCCCCCCCCCCCCCCCCCCCCCCCCCCCCCCCCTTCAAAAAAAAAAAAACGGGGTTCGGGATAAGGGTGTAGGGTTTCGGGTTTAGGGTTTAGGGCTTCGGGTTGGATTTGGGAGTCTGACAAGAACTCTCTGGGTTTTTACGAGTCTTAGGATCGTATGACGATGATTCTGATCTCATGCTCGAGCTTGTTCCTGAGCACTACAACCAGCTACCCTACGCCATAAGCCCTAATCCCCTAAAACCCTAAACCCCTAAAACCCCAACCCCTAAAAACCCCAAAACCAGGGAGGTAAAAGCAGAAGCAACTAAACCCCCCCCCCCCCCAACATCTGAGGTGCGAGCTTCAGTGTCCTGAGCCTCCAGTGATTCCTCAGGGATTCGAGTCGGGGCCCTTGGATGCCCAGCAGAGAACTTCTCTTCAGGGTCCATGTACCTCATCATTGTATACTTGCTAGATAGGAGGTAGTTTAAGGACCAAGTAGTCCCTATTTTTGCGGTTTAGGGTTTAGGGTTTAGGGTTTAGGGTTTAGGGTTTAGGGTTTAGGGTTTAGGGTTTAGGGTTTAGGGTTTAGGGTTTAGGGTTTAGGGTTTAGGGTCCCTAACGAACTGCAAGCCGCAGCAGAAAAGGTAAAGAATGTCCCGTTGGAGGTGGGAAGGGGGGCTTGGGGGTTCTCGGGCGTGGCCTTGTCCCTGACATTTTTGGGGCATTGCGTGCCTCACCTATTACCCGGAGGGCTCCACAAGCCCCACCCCGGCAAGTGGCCGTTAGCCAAGATTGTCATGCCGATATTCTATGGGGAACACGGGTAACAACGACACGCGAGTTTTGGTGGCGAGGCTAAAACGTCTACATGGCGGGTTCAAGGGTAAACCTAAGCGCCTAGCCGGAAGCCCTAAACCCCAAACCCCAAACCCTAAACCCTAAACCCCATGCATACAAGGCACCGCTCAAAAGGGACTGTTCAGAACCCATCTGCCACGCCCCTTGACTCTCCAAGGTGGAATCCCAGCATCCACGCGGCGGCATGCCAAATAGGCATGGGCTTAGGGTTGAGGATTTTGCTAGGGTTTAGGGTTTAGGGTTTAGGGTTTAGGGTTTAGAGATTAGGGTTCTAGACCGGGGGTTCCGAAGGGGTCATGGAATCGCCCTCAGATTTTTTTCTTCAACCCCGACCTCGAATCTCAGAAGCACTAACCCCTAAACCCTAAACCCTAAACCGATGTATTGGATGTTTGGTTTGCAGGCTTTTTATAGGTTTCCAGGTGGTGGAGCCACAGGGCGCGAGACCCTAAGCCCTAAATAGGGCCCCGGGCTTACTGCACGTCCACTGTTGGTGGGTTAAGGGTTTAGGGTTTAGGGTTAAGGGTTTAGGGTTTAGGGTTTAGGGTAGTTTAGGGCTTAGGGTTTACGGTTCAGGGCTTAGGGCTTAGGGATGCTGTAGTGTTCAGGGCTTAGGTTTCATACCGACCGTCACTGACCGTGTGGTAGTTGTGTCGATGTTCAGAGTGGCCTGAGTTGAACTAGACCTTTGGGGCCAAAGTTTCTGTCGCATGGCTCCTGGGTGATCATCACGCTTGGCGCGCAAGAAGACCCTATATCCTACGCTCTACAACCTATAAACCTCAAAGCCCTACGACCCTAAACCCTAAAAACCCAAACCCAAGTAGACCGGATGCTGCCCTAAACCAAACACCCGAAAACAACCCCCCAACCCAGATCCTGCCGAGCACAAGGACCTAAACCCTAAACCCTAAACCCTCAGCCCTTTGTGACATTTAAATCTTTTCCTCAGTAGGGTTTAGGGCTAGGGTTTAGGGTTTAGGGTTTAGGGTTTAGGGTTTAGGGTCTAGGGTTTAGGGTTTAGGGTTTAGGGTTTAGGGTTTAGGGTATAGGGTTTAGGGTTTAGGGTTTAGGGTCCAGGGTTTAGGGTTTAGGGTTTAGGATTTAGGGTGTAGGGCCGATCAAGGGACCCCATGTACAAATATTCTTTCAAAGGGGTCTAAAGGCCAACCCGCAATCTTCAGCTACGCCCTAAACCCCTCCACCCTAAACCCCAAACCCTAACCCCTGAACCCTAAACCCTGAATCCCAAACCCTAAACCCGAAACCCTAAACCCTAAACCCTAAACCCTAAACCCTAAACCCTAAACCCTAAACCCTGAACCCAAACCTTGAGAGGCTACTTGGGACCTCCGGTCACGACATGCACGGTGGACAGCATGACATGCCAGGCCTTGCAGAGTTTGGAGTTTTGCGGCAGAGTTTAGGGTTTAGGGTTTAGGGTTTAGGGTTTAGGGTTATCTTGGTAGCCCAGTGGTACCCTGCCCATCTTTTTGCTTCTGGGTTCCGCTGTAATCTCTAACCAACCCAAAAAGGGTGCCCTTATTACAATTTGGTTTTCTGGGCCACCGAGTTTGGCATACTTGAAGGTTCAAGGCCAGATATAGTACGGTGAGAAGTAAGAAATTTCGAAGCCCTGAGGCCCAAACCCTAGACCCTAAACCCCAAACCCCAAACCTCAAACCCTAAACCCAAGCCTCTTCCTGCACCTTGCTGGGTGCAACGTGGGCTTGTGGTCTGTTTGGGTGGGGTCTACACTTTACCTGAAGGCTCCAATGTAGTTCCTTTTTGGGGCTAGTTATCCTTTTTGGGGTTAGTTATAGGGGATTGTAGTATACCCTAAACCCTAAACCCTAAACCCTAAACCCTAAACCCTAAACTACCCCCAAAAAAGTTACTACACAGGAGCCCCTGGGACTTGGTGGTTCATGGTACTCAGTTACCAATTATACTGGTACTTAAGAACCCAAGTTATAACTATCTTAGGGCACTTAAGGGGCTTATAAGTACAGTTATAAGTACAGTTATAAGTGGTTGATAAGTACCATGAACCTTCAACGAGGTTCAAGAAACCCTAAACCCTAAACCCTAAACCCTAAACCCTAAACCCTAAACCCTAAACCCTAAACCCTAAACCCTAAACCCTAAACCCTAAACCCTAAACCCAAGGATGCTCGGCGCCAGGTCACGACAACTATCTCTGGCTGTCCACGACTGCAGCCATGCCAGCCACCCAGCGAGGGCACAAGCGCACACATGTTCTGTGTGTTTTATCAATTTCCTGTCACTGTTTACGTAGTATTGTTATTAGTACTATGAGCATTGTTATCCAATAGTTTTGTTATTGTTACTAAGATCATTCATTATTCTCATTATCATTATCATTATTATTGTTATTATTTTTCATCATTAGCATTCTTCTTATGTTTTTTCAATGCTTCTTGTCATTATTATTGCTATAATGAGTATTACTATTGCTATTGTTTTATCATGATTATGAGGATGATTATTATTGCTATGACTATGACTATGACTATGACTATGACTATGACTATGACTATGACTATGACTATTCCTATTATCATTACTATTACTACTATTATATATATATATATATATATGTTGTGTGTGTGTGTGTGTGTGTTTTTGTGTTTCGGCGGGGCGGAGGGGTTCTATAGCCCTCATCATATTTGTGTCCGGTTTAGATCTTCTTCTTAGTAGCTGAGTGAGTACACTTTGCATTTTTGGGCTACTATAATCCCGTATAGAACTGAAAGTGTACACTTTTTCGGGGGCACATGAACTCAGCAACTAAGGTTTGTGTCCGGTTGAGATCTTCCTTCGTTTCTCAGAAGAGAAAACTCCCCCAATTCGAGCAGCTGCCGGGTTGAGGGTTGAAATTTGGCATGCCCCCTTATACTAAGAGTCCCTAGTATGGATGCTAGTACCCCCTGAGACTGATACCGTAAGAAGCCCCGGCAGACTTCCCAGAGAGGCGAGCCTGACAGAGCGAGAGAGAGACGAGCACGCGCGCGTGAGCGCGTGAGCGCGTGAGCGCGCGAGCGGGTGCACTGCGCCACTTCGTCAGTCTGACAAACCAAAGCATGGTGGGGACTCTGGGGACATGGGGTTCGGGGTTACGGCCATTGCCCTCAAGAAGTGAGGTGGGCAGAAATCCAAGCAGTTGCACACGACGGCTTTCAAATGCGTGACGTCGACACTGTCCCTCCTTATCATGCCAGCATGGTCTTGTATGATAAACTGACTCGGGTTTAGGGTTTCATTGTTTTCGGGTATAGGGCTTCGGGTATCAGCAGAACATTGGCCAACTGGCTCAGCTTCATCTAGTTCAGTTGTTCGGGGTCCTAAACCCTAAAGCCTAAAGCCTAAACACTGAAGCCTGAAGCTTGCTGTTGCTGGAGGCATGATGCCGGAAGTGGACATCTGCCGTGTGAACATGACCAGTTGCAGGAGGGGGGCTCGGCCGTTTAAAGCCTCAAAAAGGCCCCCCTTCTTGGAAAACTCATGGGTTCAACCCTAAACCCTAAACCTTTTTTTTTTGCAGGAACTCCAAGAACCTCCGGGGTTCAGGTGTTGGGGCTTGCAAGCTTGGCGCTGATCGTGTTCCTAGGGCCTTGAGGGCCCTTCCCCCGCCTTCGCCTGCATTGTGAATCCCGGCAGGTGGAGAGGGTTTAGGGTTTACATGTGTTAAGCGAGCTGGCGATGCTGGTACACTAGGGTTTAGAGATTGTGGGGGTTTAGGAATTCTTGTGGTGGTTAGGGTTTGGGGTTCTGGGTTCCGTTAAAAGTAACCAACCCAAAAAAAGGGTACCCTAATTGTTATGTGGTTATGGGTCACTAAGAATATGGAGGTCGGCATGATCACTACTAGTAGTAGTCCCTTATGGTCCCTTTACAATCATACGATAAGAACCCCCAAAGCCCTATTCTAATTCTTAAGGCCACTATATCACCCAAGTGAAACACCAAAACCTACACCCAAGTGGAGTAAACCCTAAGCCCCAAACCCGAAACCCGAAACTCTAAACCTATAAACCCTCAACCGGAGGAATGTCATGCCTGGCAGCTCCTGCAGCCCTCCCTGCGTGGCGCTGGGGCCCTCGGCCTTTCAGTTCACAGGGATCACGCGATTTAGGGCTTGGGGTTTTGCTTCGAGGGAGGACTTGTGGTCGCCCCTTTGTGTGTGCGTGGGAGGGGTCTCAACCCAAAATTTTAGGGTTCTTGAGGGAGGGGGTTCAAGGGGGTAGGTACCTAGGGTTGTTTAGGGAAGCTTAGGGAGCCTTGGGGAGTAGTGGGGAGTAGAAGCCTTTTTCCACCCTAAGGCCCCCAAAACCGAACAAACCAACCCCCTGGTCCCTCAACCTTGTATATAGGGGTCCGAAGTATGGGCCCTTATGATGTACGGCGCGTATAACGGGTTGTATTACGCGGGACCCCCCTCAACCCTAAACCCTAAACCCTACATAGACGCTCGAGGCCTTTCGAGCTCTACAGCCCACCGGGGATGGCCTCCTGCCCCGAGGGAAACTTAGACCCAGCCCGGGCGCTTGGAGGGTCCTGGGGGCTTAGGGGCTCGTTTTGGGTTTTGGGGTTTCTTAAGGGCTTGCGGGGTTTTTAGGACTTTGTTGGGAGGTTTGGGGCTCGTTTTGGGGTTTAGGTGTTTAGGGTTTTGGGCCTTCTGGGGTGTTTGGGTGTTTTGGGTTTTGAGGGTTTTGGGGTTTAGGTGTTTAGGGCTAAAGTTTAGGGTTTTGGGCTGTTTTGGGTTTAAGGGTTTGGGTTTGGGTTTTTTTCAGGAGTTTTGGGGGATGAGGGTTTTAGGGTGTTAGAGTTGAGGAGTTCAGGGTGTCGGGGGTGTTGGGTTCTTTGGGGTTTCGGGCTTTTTGGGGGCTTTGGTGTGGTTTAGAATGAAGTGTTTTCGGTCCTAGGTTGGCCGAGCGGGTGGCCTTTAACCTTGTGGGGTACTGTATTCTCCTAGGACCGGGAGCAGGCCTGTTTTTTGTTTTTCCTTTTTTTAGGGTTGGGGTTCTCTTATAATCCCCTTAAAACCAAAAAGGGTACCCTTTTTATACCTAGGTTACTCCCGGGTCTAGTCTCTATGCAGCAAGGCAGGGTTTGGGGTAGTGGCGTTTAGTGGTTCAGGGTGGAAGGCAGGGTTTGGGAAAAGGGGGAATTAGGGCCCGATCGACAGTGATCCGTGGTTGGCTTGGTGGAAGCAAGCTGGATTCCCTCATGTCCCTCCCTGGAACGGGCCTACCTATGACACGTGGCTCCAACGTATTTCGCAGCACACCCGGTGTACCCGGACTTTCCGTTTGCGGATCGCTATCACCCGGTGAACTTTCCGGCCGGACAGGGTGCCAGGTTCTTGGTAGTGCAGAGGCTGCCTGGGCCTATGTGGTGACCCCACACACCTGCAAGGTGCGCTGGGTAACAGAGTTGCCATATTCTTGGTTTGGCAGATCGGGTTTAGGGGTCTAGGGTCTGGGGGTTTAGGGCTTCAGAGTTTTGGGGGTTTCGGGGTTCAGGGTGTTAGGCTTTTAGGGTTTGGGGATTAGAGGTTTAGGCTCTGGGGGCTTAAGGTTTAGGATGTTGGGGTTTTGGATTTAGGGTTTTTGGGGTGTAGGGTCTGGGCCGTTTGTGGTTTTAGGCTTTTGGGTTTTTTGGGTTTTGAGGTTCAGGATGTTAGGGGGTTAGCGTTGTAGGGTTCAGGGGTACTGTTTTAAGTTTAAGGTTTTAGGGCTTGGGAGTTTGGTTTGGCGCTTAGGTTTCAGGTTTGGGGTTTATAGGCTCTAATTAGGCTTGAACGGGCGCGGGAAAGGGTGTTTACATTGAAAACCCGAAGCCCTGGACCCTGCCCCAGAAAGCAAGACTCAGCCGAAGACTTCAACCGCCTTGGACCCTGAGCCCCAAACCCGCAAACCGTAAACCGGGGTTTAGGGTTTAGGGTTTAGGGTTTAGGGTTTAGGGTTTAGGGTTTAGGGTTTAGGGTTTAGGGTTTAGGGTTTAGGGTTTAGGGTTGCCTTTGTCTGCGTAGGAGACGCTCCTGGTCTGGGAACAGTATCCGACCCTCGGCAGTGTTTGGGATGCGTTGCTGTGTGTGTGGGCCAGGAACCAGGACCCAGGGCGCAAAGTAACTACCCGACTCTAAACCCTAAACCCTAAGCCCTAAACCCTAAACCCTACACCCAAACCCGAGAGGGTTTAGGGTTGCAGGTTTGGTCTGTAGACACCAGGCTCAGACGGCGGTCTGTGCGTGCTTGGGCTACTTGCGAGCTGGCCCTCAAAAGCTATCAACCCTAAAACCCTAAATCCTAAACCTGAAACCTCAACTCCAAACCCTAAACCCTAAACCTCAACTCTACACCCTACACCCTAAGCCCTAAATCCTGGATGAACCCTTGGATCCCGAGACCGTCCAACCCGAAGACCCAAACCCCGAAGCCCCCCCTAAACCCTAAACCCTAAACCCTAAACCCTAAACCCTAAACCCTAAACCCTAAACCCTAAACCCCTTTCAGGAACTGCTCCGTCTTTCAGTGCCCGGATCCTTCGCCTGCGTCGGCCTCAGGATGGCTTCAAGCCTCCCGGAAGTCGTTTAGGGTTTTCGGAAGTCGGTTAGGGTTTAGAGTTTAGGGTTTAGGGTTTAGGGTTTACTGTTTAGGGTTTAGGGTTTATGGTTTAGGGTTTAGAGGGTTTAGAGGGTTTAGGGGGTTTAGGGTTTAGGGTTGTGCAGAGCTTTCGACGGACGCAGTCCTACACCTGCAGACGGGTCGCGCGGACCGTGGCCTTCTCCCTGAAGCCGAAAGGACACATAGAGGGCACAACCCTAAACCCTGAACCTCAACCTAAGTCCGGATGAACCCTAAACCCTGCGCCCCACACCCTAAACCCTAAACCCCAAGCACAAGTCCGGATAAACCCCTAAACCCCAAACCCCAAACCCTAAACCCTAAACCCTAAACCCTAAACCCTAAACCCCCGAGGTGCCGCTGGGCTATGAGTTCGGCATTGACCAGCGCAGCCCAGCTGCCATCGAAGCAGGGGTGGATCGCCGGGCCCCGAGAAGGGTTTAGGGTTTAGGGTTTAGGCTTTAGGCTTTAGGGTCTAGGGTCTAGGGTTCAGGGTTTAGGGTTTGGGGTTTGGGGTTTAGGGTTTAGGGTTTAGGGTTTAGGGTTTAGGGTTTAGGGTTTAGGGATGCGACGTTCCAGGCAGTTTTGAGGGTGGAGGGTGTTGCTAGAAGCATGTACCCCTAAAAGGGTCCACGTGCCCAAATGGTCAAAGAGTAGGGTGAGCTTGTGTACTTGAGCTGTAAAGGGCCAAAGTGTTTCCTTTTGAACTACTGTGGAAACCTTGTAGTTGGGTGAAAGTTTCGGTCACCAAAGCGGGCTCACAACAAAGATCACTTTCCGTTCCCAAAATTCATCCTTTTGGGGGTCCCCTTGATGCAAAATCTGGCCGCTGATATGGGGGTTTGCGAAAATGCGAGGCTCCTAAAAGAGACCCCAAATTATAGAATTCCCACATTCTAAGGGCCCCAACAAGGTACAACTAATCTCAGAAACCCCCATATCCTAAAGCCCTAAGTTCCAGGAGGTCCACGCTTATGAGGCTCGTGGTCCGGGTTCATGTTTAGGGAACTTAAACAAAGAGACCATAGCAATGCGACAGTTTTCGTCCATATAACATCTAGGTTCTTGTTAAGGGAACTGAAACGAAGAGACCACAACGACATGACGTGTTTTTTTCTAGAACCGGTGTTGGGTCGCCCAAAACCCAAAACCAAAAACCAAAAACCCTAAACCCTAAACCCTAAACCCTAAACCCACCTCAAATGCCTCCAGCCTTTGACCCACACAGGCCGGTAAAGTGAGTTCGGTGAACTCTGAGCGTACCATAGGGGTTGGGATAATTACTAGTAGTATCCCCGTATGGTCCCTCCTTATGTATACTACCTAGTCTAATTATTCAGGCCCCTGTAATACTATTCTTGGCGCGCCCACGGACACCCCCTTTTGCTGTCGTGTGCCTTTCGGCCGGAGAAAGATCACCGTTGCTAGTGAGCGATTTCATGTTCTGCTCTTTCAATGATGGTGCCCAGTGCCCCCCCAAAAAGGATCGCAACTTGGGAGATCTGTTTACGTCCTTATTCAAGGGCAGTCTAGTGGGGACGTAAGAAATGGGGGCGTATGCAATTGGAACCATTCGTGCCCATTTGGGCCTAAATGGGACGGTTTTGAAAATGCTATTTTGCGTTCGGAATCCTGCGCGCTCGGAGTTCGGTGCTTGAATCTAGAATCTGTCGGGCTATGGAGAAGGGGCAAGCCTCTGGCAATGTGGACGCGGTAGTGAGCGTGACATTTTCTAAAGCAGCCCAAAACAGCCCAAAAGCGCCCAAAACTGCCCAATCCAGCATTTTGGCAAACGCCCCGGCCGTCAGGGGTTTGTTTTCCAACTTACTCACGGCTTGCCGTTGCCGCTCTGTCAAGTTACAACCCTCCTCCCAGCAGCAGATCCCCTCTGTTCGTCTCAGCCTTGTGCGATTTCAGGAGATTAAGCCCCCATTTCTTGAGCCCCCACTTCCTTGACCTATACTATCCCAGAAGCCCCAAACACGGTTCCAGGTTGGTACTGCAGCCCCGGATATGTCGGCGAGCCCGTGCGCGTGTGCGGCAGCAACATCACTTGCGGCGTGATTGTGGACAGCTCAGCTTGGGTTGGTGAATCGGGTCGTGTTTCTTCGGCATTCATCCGCACTTCAGTTGTTGTGTACTATGACACACATGTTTCAGTAAGATCTCTCTATGGGTATTTCCGGCAATAGGGGTACTCCTTTGCTACCCCAAGTAGAACAGCAGCCCCTTCAAGGGACCCCCAAAAAAGGAACCCCGACTCTCGGAAACCCCCATCTATGCGACCTAAATGACAATCATAAGGGGTCAAGGGACTAAACGGAGGGAGGGAGCCTTATAAGGGACCTTAGGGGTTTGTGGGGGCTGATTTAGGGGCAGCTTAGAGGTTATAGGGACTAGATAAGGTATGATATCAGGGTTATATAGGGGAGTAAGATGCAAGGGTCCCTTCTAGGGGTCCTTCCTTATACTGGATGGGACCTTAGGCTCAACAGGCCCACACCATGCGTGCAGCTCAAACCGGTCATGTCCAGCATGAATTCTAGGGTTTAGGGTTTAGGGTTTAGGGTCAACCTTACTCTAGACTGCAGCTTGGCTTCAGCTCGCAAAGGTAAAATCCTAACCCTAAACCCTAAAACCCCCTAAACCCCCTAAACCCTAAACCCTGATCTCTCAGGCCTTGCTGTCCGGGTGCCTACCCATCACCCCATGCCGTGCACCGGTGGTTGACACGTGCCGTGGGGACCTCAGGTCCTTTGGGTTTAGGGCTTAGGGTTTAGGGTTTAGGGCTTAGGGCTTGGGGTTTCGGGTTAGGGTTAGGGTTTAGGCTTTACGGTTTAGGGCTCAGAGCTTCCGGGCTAGGGTTTGTAGGTAGAGGTAAGTGTCACACCCTTCAAAAGAGCAAGCTGTGCAATCTCGAGGGCTTGAAAAGCCGGTTTAGGGTTTCAGGGTTAAGGGTTAAGGGTTTAGAGTTCAGGGTTTAGGGTTTAGGGTTTAGTGTTTGCGGTTCGGTCCAGGGTTTTTGTGGCTTTGTTTTTTGATTGTTTGAGGACTGCTCTAGGAGGACTTTCAGGGTTGTTTGTCACTCTTTTGGGGCTGTAGCCCAGCCGCCCAAAGACTCCAAAACCCCTCAAATAAGGAACATCCCCTAGATTATCATAGGAACCCTAGTAGGATTTTAAGGTGTGTTCCTTAACTAGGGGTTTTGGAGTCTCTGGGCCCTGGTGGTGCACTGAAACCAGCTCATGACCAGATGCAGAACAAGCTGCGAGGGGCTTGGGTACTGCTTCCGGACATATGCCAAGAATTCGAGACTTACGTTGAGCCGCATCTCCGATTGACCCGCGGCGAGGTGACTGCGTTGAGTGATTTTCTTGATGTCACATTCAGGGTTCAGTTCTCACGGCTTTTGGGGTCTGGGGCTTTCAGGATATTGAGGGCTGACTCAGGGTTTTCAGGGCCTGTTATGGCTTCTCTTTACCCCTAGACCCTAACCCTAAACCCCAAGCCCTAAACCGTTTTAGTGGGTCACTGGTCAGGCTTGCAAACTGCTGTTGCCTGCTGGTGCTGGGCTGGCCCGCATGCTGGATGCGGCCGTACACCCCAAACCCCTGTGGCTTTAGGGTTTATAAGGTCTAGGGTTTATAGGGTTTGGGGTTCATAGGGTCCAGGGTTTAGGGTTTCGGGTTTAGGATTTAGGATTTAGGGTTTAGGGTTTCGGGTTTAGGGTGAACCCTGAACCCTCTCGGATGTTCGGCGCCAGGCGTCGACGACTCCCGGTGCGGCAGCATACGCCCCGGCGGGCGGTGCACCCTGCTCCTCGGCGCGCCTTAAGGGGTTCGACCCCTAAGTCCTAAACCCTAAACCCTAAACCCTAAACCCTAAACCCTAAACCCTAAACCCTAAACCCTAAACCCTAAACCCTAAACCCTAAACCCACCCTAAACCCGAGGATTTAGGTTTCGAGTTAGGGGGTTTAGGGTTATAAACAACCTCAGAACCCTGACTTGAGGGCCAAGCCGAGGCCTGGGGCATGCTGTCAGGAAGCCTTGCACGGAGTAGGGTTTGGGGTTTAGGGTTTAGGGTTTAGGGTTTAGGGTTTAGGGTTCAAGGTTCAGGGTTCAGGGTTTAGGGTTTAGGGTGACAGCCAACACCGAGGGCCGGGCTGGAAAAGACATATTCAACAGGAGACCAACCCCTCTGGGTCACTTCTCTATACCATGGTCCCTTCAGGCCAACCTGGTGTTTGGGGGGCGGGGGGCCTTTTTGTTTACACTTCAAGCCCCAAACCCAAACCCTCAATCCAAAACCCTGAACCCTAACCCTGAACCCCAAACCCCTCAACCCGAAACTTAAAGTTTCCAGGTGTTTTCGGGGGGGGTGGTTTTTATTGAACCCCAAGCCCCTCAACATGCACCATGTTGTCATATACTTGGGCCCAACAGCCCCTCTACAGGAGGTACTTTAAGGCCCAAGTATTCCCTATTCAGGTACCCTAGAATTGTGGCATGGACCTTTATGTATTATTTGACGTTCTCTCTTGTTTTGTATTTAAAAACCTATAAACAAACTAAATCCAAGAAACCTGAAGCACAAATTCACCAATTTCGTTCTCTTAGGGTTTAGGGTTTACGATTTATAATTTACTCTTTTTTGATGTGAACGTACAGACGCAGTCAGATGTTGGCAACGAATACTAGCTATCACTTCTGCTCTTGCGTGGGGGATGATCCAAGCGGTCTCTCGGGTCGGGCTGCGCACCGTTGTGCGCACATTGAAGTGTCCTGTCAGCTGTCGTGCCCAATTGTTGCTTGGTGTGGATCGGCAAAGATCACTGCTACTGAAAGAGGCATCTTCTCATGAAGATGCCCTAACTCTTTCAAGACATCTACATTATCATTCAACGCGTACAGACGTCGGTTCGACAACCTGTAAAACTTCGTACTCTTCTTCACAAACTGAAGTGGACACGAGTCCTGCAGTGCCCTGAACCGTCTCGTGCAGAAAACACCCCCGCAGAAAATCACTGCCTTTACCGCAAGCATTGGAATCCTACAACAGCACAATCCGCTACAGTCCACCTCCGCCACGGACGCACCCATGACCGCAGAAGCCACTGCCCCGCCGATAAGGAGCCGACCAAAAAAAAAGCAACGACGGCACCCATTGCAAAAGACCTGCGAAAACGTCTCGCGTAATCAGTGACCATCATACAACAATCGGTGAACAATCTTAAGACACTGTTTTTGCGGGCAACCAATAGCAACTGGTCGACCAAGCCGATGCCTGAAGACGGCACGGCTGCGGCGCCTCGGAGCTTGTCTTCCTGACTCGGGAAACTGCTGCGGCCGACGCCAAGTCTCGCCAGCTGTCGTGCACAATTGTTGCTTGGTGTGCGTCGGCAAAGATCACTGCTACTGAAAGAGGCTTCTTCTCATGAAGATGCCCTAACTCTTTCAAGACATCTACATTATCATTCAACGCGTACAGACGTCGGTTCGACAATCTGTCGAACTTCGTACTCTTCTTCACAAACTGAAGTGGACGCGAGTCCTGCAGTGCCCTGAACCGTCTCGTGCAGAAAACACTCCCACAGAAAATCACCTTGAGACACATGCCTTTACCGCAAGCATTGGAGTCATGCAGCCGCACAACCCGCTACAGTCCACCTCCGCCACGGACACTCCCATGACCGCAGAAGCCACTGCCCCGCCGAGAAGGAGCCAACAAAAAAAAGCAACGACAGCACCCATTGCAAAAGACCCGCGAAAACTTCTCGGATAATCAGTGACCATCATACAACAATCGGTGAACAATCTTAAGACACTAACTTTGCGGACAACAAATAGCAACTCGTTGACCAAGCCGATGCCTGAAAACGGCACGGCTCCAGCGCCTCGAAGCTTGTCTTCCTCACTGTGTGTTTCTGAGATTTAAAGGAGAACAAGAGAAGAGAAGGGAGAGAGAAAGGAGAGAGGAGAGATCAACAGGAATGCAACTCTAAATGGAAGAGCAATGAAAAGAATGGAAGAGAAATGAGGACAGGCGAAATGCAAAAATCAGGCAAAGAGAAGATGGTGCTCGTTTTCATCTTTCCTCTGGTTCTTATTTTTCTCTTCTCTTGTTCATTTCCGTTAGAAAAAACAAAAGGAATAACAATGAACATGTAAGCAAACCCAGCTGATGCTCATGATTTTTTCCTTTCTCCCTCTCTCTCTCTATCTCCATAAATGGGCGATGGAACGGGTGTCCTTGTTGGGCCGTTTCCTGCATCTTCAAGTGAGGAACCTAAGTGTTTTCTTTTGTTCGTTTGAAGACACAGAAAGCGATTAAAAGGGACGTCCATTTTGGATTGGCAGCCAACCCAGCTGATGCTCATGATTTGTTTTTCTCTCTCTCTCTATATATATATATGGGCGATGGAATGGGTGTCCTTTTTGATCGTTTTCTGCATCTTCAAGCGAGGAAAAGGGACACCCCACAAGAAAGCACTTAGGGTGTCCCTTTTGCTCGTTTGAAGACACAGAAAGCGATTAAAAGGGACGCCCGTTTTGGATTGGCAGCCAACCCAGCTGATGCTCATGATTTCTCTCTCTCTCTCTCTCTCTCTCGCTCTCTCTCTCTCTCTCTCTCCCTATATATGGGCGATGGAACAGGTGTCCTTTAAGATCGTGTTCTGCATCTTCAAGCGAAGAAAAGGGCACCACAAGAAAACACTTAGGGTGTCCCTTTTGCTCGTTTGAAGACACAGCAAGCGATTAAAAGGGGCGCCCATTTTGGATTGGCAGCAAACCCAGCTGATGCTCATGATTTATCTCTCTCCCCATAAATGGGCGATGGAACGGGTGTCCTTTTTGGATCGTTTTCTGCATCTTCAAGCGAAGAAAAGGGACACCACAAGAAAACACTTAGTAAGGGTGCCCCTTTTGCTCGTTTCAAGACACAGAAAGCGATTAAAAGGGACGCCCATTTTGGATCGGCAGCAAACCCAGCTGATGCTCATGATTTATCTCTGTCTATATATGGGCGATGGAACGGGTGTCCTTCCTGATCGTTTTCTGCATCTTCAAGGGAGAAAGAAGGGCACCGCCCAAGAAGGAAACGTAACATCAGATATAGGGAGGGAAATTGAAGAGCTCCTCTCTTTACTTAGTCATTCCCTTTCCTCTCTTCTTATCTGTTGTTTTCTTCGCTTCAAAAAGCAAAATACGGGAAAAGAGATTTCCTGAAGAGGAGGGAGGGCACCTATTGAAGAGCTCCTGTCTTTACTTAGTCATTCCCTTTCCTCTCTTATCCGTTGTTTTATTCGCTTCAAAAAGCAAAATAAGCGAAAAAGAGATTTCCTGAAGAGGAGGGAGGGCACCTATCTGTAAAGAGCAATCGTTTAGAGGGGAACAGGAGAAGAGGAGCGAGAGAGAAGGACAGAGGAGAGATACAGGGAATCCAATTTCAATAGAACAGCAAAGAAAAGAATAGAAGAGAGATGAATAGAGAAGAGGGAGAGACAAAACAAGGCGCAGAGAAGATGGCGCTCTTCTTTATCTATCCTCCCTCCCTTATCTCTCCCTTCCCTCTTTCTTTTCCAGATAAGAACAACTAAAGAGGAATAATTATGAAAAGGAGAAGAGTAAGGAAAGGAGCAGAAGAGATAGGCCGAGAAGAGGGATATGATGAAGTACGGCAAGGTCCACGCGCAACCTCTGCTTACCCTGCCACTGTTTTATCCTGCAAGTTCCTTTCTTGTTGTTCATCAGTCAAAAAGTAACAGAAAGAGAGAAGGGAAAGGGAAGTGAGAGAGGAGAGAGAACAAGGATGCCATTTTTCTGGAAGGGTGCTGGAAAGAAGAGAAGAGACAGGAAGCAAGGAGACGGAGTGACAAAATACAGCGCAAAGCTCTATATATATCATCTCTCCCTTGTCTCTCCCTATTCCCTTTTGATGGGACGCCCCAGAACTAAAATATTTAAATCCAGGTATTTGAATAATTAAATTCTTTAAATTATTTACATGGTTGGGTTTCCAGAGGAACCAATGGGTTTGAATAATTAGATTATTTAGATTATTTTGGCGCCTCCTGTGAGCCAAGTCTGTGATGAAGTATGTCCCTTCTCCCCGCGGGCCAAATTTGTGATGAAGTATGTCCCCTCTCCCCGTGGGCCAAATTTGTGATGAAGCATGTCCCCTCTCCCCGTAGGCCAGGTTTGTGATCCAGCATCCCACCAGCGTGATGAAGTAGGTTCCCTCTCTTTGTGGCTGAAGTATGTCCCCTCGCCCCGTGGGCCATGTTTGTGATCCAGCCCCCCAGCAGCGTGATGAAGTATATCCCCTCTCCCTGTGGGCCAAGTCTGTGATGAGGTATGTCCCTTCTCCCCGTGATGAAGTATATTTGGAAGCTGAGAGTCGTGTTTTGGTGTGGTAGATTGTGGTAGATAGAAAGGAAAGGGCATGAGAAAGTAGCGAGAGGAGCTCTTCAATTCCCTTCCTGCTTTATTGCAACACATGCCCCTCTTGTTCTTCCTTTCTTGTGTTTTTTGTCATTTAGAGGGGAACAGGAGAAGAGGAGCGAGAGAGAAGGAGAGGGGAGAGATAACAGGAATCCAATTTCAATGGAATAGCAAAGAAAAGAATAGAAGAGAGATGAATAGAGAAGAGGGAGAGACAAAACGAGGCGCTGAGAAGATGGCACTCTTCTTTATCTATCCTCCCTCCCTTATCTCTCCCTTCCCTCTTTCTTTTCGAAATAAGAACAACTAAAGAGGAAGAATTTATGAAAAGGAGAAGAGTAAGGAAAAGAGCAGAAGAGATAGGCCGAGAA